TTCAACAATAAGTCGGGACACCACTTAGTGGAGCAGCTCCGAAGCCGGAAGGCGGGAACGTCCGATACGGGAACCACAGCAGCCGTGTCTCGAGCGCAATCTGCTCTGTCCAACGTCTCAATCGAGTCCCATCGTTCGTGACGTACTTCGGAAGGAAGAGCTTGACATTTGGTGCCTTTTTTTATTACAACCTGAACCTTTTTTTTTCTTACACGCCACGATCGGTTATGCATTCTCGACACGGTTCAGCACGGCCACGCCCTCGACGTGACCCGTCTGGGGGAAAAAGTCGAAGCCCCTCAGACTCTCAATCTCGTACCTCGTCCTCTTCTTCTGACCCTCCACCTCTCCGCGCACGAGGACACCAACGTCCCGTGCCTGCGTGTGCACGTTGCAGCTGACGTAGACGACGCGCCGCGGGCCGAAATCCAGCAGCTGGCCCAGGAAGCTGGCGTCGCAGCCCTTGCGCGGCGGGTCGAGGATGACGACCGTCTCGTCGGGGTCGTACCTGACGTGCTTGAAGAGCTCGGGGGCGTCGGCGGCGAGAAAGGTGCACTGGTCCTCCGTGAAGCTGTTGAGCAGGGCGTTCTTGCGCGCCGAGGCGATCGAGTCGGCGGCAATGTCGATGCCCATGCTCGTCTTGAAGATGCCGGACAGCGTGATGGTGAAGAGGCCGGAGCCGGAGTAGGCGTCGATGAGATACCGGATGGGCTTCGCGCCGGGGGCCGCGGCGAGCGCGGCGGGCGGCAGCACGTGCTGGCGGACGTAGTCGGTGAAGGGCGACAGGATCGAGTTGTTGTTCTGGAAGAAGGAGCCGGCGGGGTTCGTGAAGAGGAAGTCGTCAATGTACTCCGAGGTCATGGCCTTGTTGTCGGTGGCGCACGTCTTGATGTCGGTGTAGGCGTCCGTGTCGACGCGCACGGCGCCCTCGGGCAGCGCGGCCGGCGGCTGCTCGTCGCCGCCCTTGGGGTAGCGCTTTGTGCTCTCGCGCAGGAGCAGGGTGGCGCCGTGGTTCCGGGTGGCGTATTCGCCCTCGATGCGCTCGCGCTCCTTCTTCATGCCGTTTCGCACGGCCTGCGTGCCGATGGGACAGTCCTCAATGTCGAGAACGGCGCGACGGCCCTTGACGTTGAAGCCGATGGGCGGCATTGTGGTGAACGGGGCCCTCTGCTTGCCCTTGCGCCAGCTGCCGGGGGGGCCGTCAAAGTGCGGCGTCAGCTTGGTGCGGTAGCCGTACTGCAGCGGGCTGCCAATGGTGTCGCCGATCGTGGGCACCAGTTCGGGGGCCAGCTGGGAGAAGTTCTTGAAAGCCTTGACGACGATGGAGCGCTTGTGCCGCAGTTGGTCGGCATAGTCGAGCATCTGGAACTGGCAGCCGGAGCACTGGGTGAAGTACTTGCAAGAGATACGAGAGTCGTCGCGCATGGGCGAGGGCGTGATGACGGAGAGGTAGTCGGTGGCGGTGTAGCCGTCCTCGAGAACATGGCGGACGACCTTGACACGGGCGACGTCGCCTGGCGCAACGAACGAGACGACGTAGATCTGAGGGTTGGATGAGCCGACTTGAACACCGAGGCCGTCACCCGTGGAAGAGAGTTCGAGGATTTCGACATCAATCTCGGACCACTGCTCGGGCAGGGGCGACGTCTCCTGCGCCGAAGTCGAAGGCGCCGACTCCTGGCGGGCCTTGACGAGGGCTTGAATATCAGCAAGCAGAACCTCCTCTGATGAGCCCTCCTTCATCGATCGTTCTCTCTTGGTCCTCTGCTTCTTGCCCTTTGCGCGAGACTGAAAAGCTGGCCGCTTGCCGTTGACATTTTGTGGCCGAGGTGGTGTCTGTGAGTGAGGCTGCGCTTGTGTCTGGATTTGCTCGGCCTGCTGCGAGGTCGTGATAGGCGACGCCATTATGCGAAATGCTGGTGAGAGTAGATGAGGCCGGCTCAGTAGTGGATGTCGAAGTGAAGGTGCAAACCGGGCGAGGAAACGCATGAGTATGCCCCGTCCGCAAGGCTGCTGATTTTAAGTTCGAATTGGTCCCTTCGATTGACCATTAGCATGCAGCGAAGAAAAGAACAACGTTCGGTCGTATTCTCAATGCTGGCAGAAGGTTAGAAAACTCATCGTGAAGATGTCGAGGTCCACATAAAGTCAATCTACGATTCTAAATAAACAGCACATCATTGGTTCGAATTGCCTGTGCGCAGGGATGGTTCATTGGCTGGAAAGAAAGGCGAATCGGCCAATGACATGCATCCTCCACAGTCACTTGAGCCGATCACTTGGTCCGGCTTATCGACCGGCGTCGGGTCAACTCCGATGCCCTCATCGGCCACATCCAAACTGGCAGCCATGTCTCGAGACTCTTTCCGCCTCTTGCTTGACTCAAGTCACAAACCTCCCCTTCCAGAGATTCTGGTTGCAGGAAAATCACGGGAAATCTCACGCCCACCGTTTGCAGCTCAGCGCCTCTCGCCGTCTTTCTCAGCTCCCTATCTTAAAAGCGGATCCGTTTATCAAGGGGCAAGAGTCACTGAGTCGAGACGGCGAAATGTGTATGTCACCCACTCGTCCAGAGGGATGCTGATTGACACCTGAATCTAGACTCTTTTGACTCCAAAATCCGGCCTCTATGGCTGCTCTACGGCTCCTTCATCTGGATGACTGGGTCCTCGGCCATCCCCTTCTCTTCTGATCAGGTCGTGCTCACAGCCCAAGATGGTGCTGGAGCCGTAGCGAGCGAGAACATGGAGTGTAGCAGGATCGGACGCGATCTCCTCCGCCAGGGTGTAAGTTTCCTGTCACGACGTTTCCTGTCACGGCGTTTTCTGTCACGGCGTGGCACGGATGGCATGCTGAACTGAACCTGTCAGGGCAACGCTATAGACGCCATGGTTGGCACGCAACTGTGCGTCGGCGTCACCTCCATGTACCACTCAGGCATCGGAGGCGGTGGTTTCGCTCTTGTCAGAACGGCGGATGGAAGATACGAGACCATCGACTTCAGGGAAACGGCGCCGGCCGCTGCGACCCAAGACATGTATAACGATGATGTACGTGCGAGCATCGAAGGTGGCCTGGCGGTTGGAGTCCCCAGCGAGCTGCGAGGGCTTGAGTACATGCATGAGAAATGGGGTGTAAGTTCCCCACAAGCCATTACTGCTGAGCTTCGCTGATAAGGACGCTCAGGATCTCGCCTGGGAGTCTGTCGTGATGCCTGCTTCTCACCTAGCTAGGGAAGGCTTTTCTGTGACAGCCGACATGAGTCGGTACATGGTGGCAGGGATGAAGGACGCGGGGAGAGACTTCCTCATTGATGAACCAAGCTGGGCTGAGGTCTTTGCACCGAACGGTGAGCCTCCTCGAAAATCCCAATCTGTGCACATGCTGACATTCAAATACTTTTCAGGAACGCTCCTCGGTGTGGGCGACACTATGTACAGAACACGACTTGCCGAGTGAGCCTCATCTACACGCTCTGTTCCACCACGAGTCTAACTGAAGCAGTACTCTCACCACAGTAGCAGAGAAGGGCGCATCGGCATTTTACACAGGCGAACTCGCCGCCTCGTTTGTGAAGACAGTCCGCGACGCAGACGGCATCATGACCCTAGAAGACCTCACCGCGTACCGCGCTGAGAGCCGCGAGCCCCTGTCGACGACGTTCCGCAACCACACTCTCTACACGACCGGCGCCCCCGCCAGCGGCGCCATAACGCTCAACATGCTCAAGACGATGGAACAGTATCCCCTGCCGCCGACGCCCGACACGAACCTCACAACGCACCGCTACAACGAAGCCATGCGCTTCGCCTACGGCGCGCGCTCCCTCCTCGGCGACCCGGACTTCGTCCGCGGCCTGGGCCCCTACGAGGCCTCCCTCATCGACGACGCGACAGCCGCCCACACCCGCGCCCGCATCTCCGACAACGAGACGCAACCCGTGGACCACTACGCTCCGCACGCCCTCTTCGTCCCCGACACGCACGGCACCTCGCACGTCGTCACGGCCGACAGCGCCGGCCGCGCCGTCTCCCTGACGTCGACGGTGAACCTCCTCTTCGGCGCCCTGCTCGTGGACCCGCGCACGGGCGTCGTCCTCAACAACGAGATGAACGACTTCTCCATCCCCGGCGTCCGCAACGCCTTTGGCTTCGAGCCGAGCCCCGCCAACTTCATCCGTCCCGGCAAGAGGTCCTTGTCGTCCATCACGCCCGTCATCGTCGAGGCGCCGGACGGTGGGCTGCGTGCCGTTGTCGGCGCCGCCGGCGGGTCGAGGATCGTCAGCGCCACGGCGCAGGTGCTCTGGCATGTGCTCGAGCACGGCATGACCATGACGGAGGCCGTGGCGGAGCCGAGGCTGCACGACCAGCTCATGCCGAATGAGGTGTGGCTGGAGTACACCTTCAACAACGAGACGGCCGCGAGCCTCGCGGACAAGGGACACCAGATCAAATGGGTCCGCGAGGGGCTCAGTGCTGTCCAGGGGATCACGGTGCTGGGAAGCGGCAAGTTTGAGGCGGCGAGCGAGCCACGGCAGAAGAACAGCGGTGGGTTGACTGCATGATGGAAAGAGAGGGTATTGCAACGTGGCAAGACTATAGACATGTCATAGAGCGCATCATCAACATACGAGAGCCATTTGATTTCATTCGTTTCTTGTCCGCTACCAAAAGGGAAGGGGTATCGTTGAAGTCTACGCATGACCAGGGAAGAAACCGAAAACGGGGCGATTTGCCTAGTACCCCAAAAGCAAATACACAAACAAACCTTATCTAGCAAGCCATGGCTTTGATGCCGGATACAAAGGCCCATCTACGCAGGGCCATCCAGATTCGAAAACCCTTTTCCAACCAAAGGAAAAAAGGAAAGAAAACACCGAGATAATGTACGCTGCGACCATGCTTGGCGCTGTCCCTGAATATGAGAAAATTCTTGCTGCAGTCAGAAGCAAAGGGCTCAAACCTCACTGGTCCAAGTCAACACACAAACACTGCAGCGGCTTACCGAAGCTTAGCAAGAAGCGTTTCTAGGTGCTTGTTCCAGCTATCAACAAATGCCTGCTCCGTGAAACGCTGTGCTGACTTGACAGCCCGTAGTCGGAAGGCTAAGGGATCCTTGACGGTCAAAGCCTGCTCAAAACCTGCCGCAAACTCGGTGGAAGTCGAAGCGTGGAAACCTAGAATTGTCAGTGCTGTTGGCCAAATCTAGAGGGAATCCCGCAACTCACCAGTAGGCTCGCCATCAATATCAACATTAATGTCAAGCTTCGGTCCGCCGCTGGCATGCACCACCGAGATGACACCAGCGGCCTGGTACTCGACGCATCCAATGCCGAAGTGCTCATTCCACATGCCGTTAACGCCGACATATGCCTTCTGAAGCCAGACAAGAATCTCTTCCCAGGTAGCATCCAGATGGAAGCTCACCTGACTCTTGATACCAAGCTCATTCACCAGCAGTCTAAGCTGGTAAACACGCTTGGAGTCAATGTCGTCCCGGACACTACCCACGAGGACAAGACGGACATCCTTGGTAGCCTCGGTCTCTGTCTTGAGGAACTCGGCAAATGATTGCAGGATGAGCTGGTGGTTCTTTTCTGGCCGGAATTGGGCGATGTAGATGATGACCTTCTGACGCTGCGCTTCGCTGGCCTCGGATACTTCGATATCGCGTGCGAGCTCTTCAACAGGACAGGGTGGGTAGACGACGGCAATAGGATCGCTCTTGACGCTACGGTGAGGGCCCCAGAGAGCTGCTATGTGGCCCTGAGTCCAGGTCGAGTTGGTCATGACGACATCAATGGTCGAACCGACTCGCGAATAAAGCTCTGCAAACAGCTTCCAGTATGCGCGCTTGGCCTGACCACGCAACCCCACACCTTTGCCGGCGTTGATGCCCTGGCTACCATTTGCGGACTTAGGGTCGAGAGACTCAAGCATATCAGTTGAGATGGTCGGGTAGTGGACATAGGCGCCGGTAGGGATGGTGGGGAAGAGGAGCTTAGAAAGTCCGAGCACGAATGCATATCCCATGGTGTCAACCAGAACATCGGGCACCAGCAGCTGGAAAGCATCCCAGGCCATGACCATGGATCCAAGAGACTGGCCGAGCAGGGTAAAGTGAGTCCAGGTCGAGGCGAGGACAAGGTGCTTGGTACTCAGGTACATGAGAACAAGACTGGGAGGGTGGATATCGATGTTGAACCTACGCTGTTGGTCGATGCTGATTAGACAGAGTCGTACGGGGTACAGGATGCATCATGTGACATACCTTGGCGAGAGTCACCATCTCCGTCTTGTTAACCTTCTGGTCAGTGGTGTAGATAACGCAGAGCGCTTTAGGCCACTTCTGCTGGGTAGCGCGGACGGCTGACCAAAGGACTCTTTCGCCTCCGCCTCCAGCGTTGCTGCAGTCTGTTAGTCGTCGGTTTCGGTACGCAGAAATGCTCGTCAAGAAGTAGTTCGCTACGCACCAGAAAGGGTGGAAGAAGCCAACGATGCCGCTCCAATCTTCCACCTTGTCGATCTTGATAATTCCCTTTGGAGTCGTGATCCCCTTTTCTTTATAGGTGTTCTCTTCGGTGGCCATGGCTTTGATCAACTGGGCGCGCCTGCCTTCAGTCTTGGTGCGGAGATAGCTGCCGGCAACAGCACCAAGGCCTCTCGCGAGAAGAGGAATGACGAACAAGGCGAGAATGGGTAGGGCGGCTACCACAGTCACAGCCCAGAGGGCGGTTGAGTGGCCCGATGTCGAGGTATCGGGCGAGGCAGAGTGCCCCGCCTCAGAGGTGTCCGCCATCGCGGGGACGACGGTGGGTGATGTCGGAGCTTCCGTGGATTCTACTATAACACGGCCACGGCCGTGAGGTGGACTGTGTGGATTACGAAGAGATCTCGAGCTTCGTAGAGGCTGGTAATGGCGGACAAGAAGGAGATGTGGCTGTGTGAGCCCGTCAGCCGGTGAAGGTGGGAAGAAGATCGTCAGACGCACTAAGCTGCACCTCCAGAGCCGTTGACGTCGTTGTACCTGCCCTCCAGTGAACAAGGACAAGTGGTACTTCCTGCTGCCACTGGGGGTTACCTTCAGCAGGGGTCTTGAGGGTCCTTTGGCGCACACCCCACCCCTGAGGGTGCCTGACTTTCACTGCGGTACGTACTGCACTGACAGGGCCCGTGCACCTGTCCCAATGGCTTGAAGCTTGCATGTGAGGTTGCCATCCTCACACATTCATGGTCCGTCACCTGGTCTCGACATCTGACCCATCGAGAGGCTGCCTCCACATGGCCCATGATGCTTCCAACTAGAGGCGCCTTTCGTCTGCTGTCACGGTCAACGGGGCCATCTTCGGCCCTGAGTCTCACGAGACAACCCTGTCTGTCGCCATCTCGCCCAACGACTCGGCATGAACTTCTGGTCTCATCGTTTCTCACCAGACATGAGACGCGCCAACTTTCCTTTGGCACCGCTGTGAACAGCTCTGTGCAAATCGCACAAGATGCCCTCATTTCACTTCACTCAACTATCGGTCTCCCCTGGTGGCTCGCCATTCCTGCCTTCGCTCTAGGCTTCACACTCACCCTGCGTCTTCCTCTACAGATTTACAGCAGGAAAATCATCCTCGGCCAGAGAAAGCTATTACCCTTTACCTCTTCCTGGAGAGCTCGGCATCTCAACGTTCATAAGCGGCCCTATGTCGCAATACAGCAAGGAAAGACCCTACGACGTATCTACCGAGAGCGAGGCGTGCAGAGTTGGAAGATATGGGTTACTCTGTTCAGCATTCCACCATGGCTCCTCGTCCCTGAAGCCATTCGACGGCTGAGTGGCGCGAGTGGCGGTATCTTGTCTCTCATCACTGGAAATTACAAGAACGGACACCCCGAGTTGGGCACTGCGCCCGCTCAGCAAGCGGTCATTGCTGCACCAGGTGAATCAGATAACTTCACAGCCGAGCCCGTTCTCGGCAGCGCGGGTAACGCACCGTCCACAGGCGTTCTTGAGTCTTTGCAAACAGCTGCTACTCAGATTGAACCAAGCATGACGACTGGCGGCATCTTATGGTTTCCGGATCTGTCAGCGCCCGACCCATATGGTCTGCTCCCTATGGCAATGGCGGGCCTGCTCTGTTACACCTGGATCCCCAAGACTGCGGCTGGGCGAGCTGCCATGTTCAACCTTTCTAACAAGGAGTCGTCCTCTCTTGAAACGTCAGGTTGGAGGTGGCGACTGCGAAGATCAGCCTTTGTCGCTTCACTTCTGTTACCCATGGCGGCGATGAACCTCCCATCTGGCATGTTTGTCTACTGGGTATCGTCAGCGACCTTTGGCCACATCAATGCGGCACTTGTCGAGCGTTACATGCCACTGGATAAACACCAGGCCCCAGCACAGCAGAAGGAAGTCCCGCCGAAGGTGTAGCCGGTGCTAAATTCTGTAAGATGAAATTTGTATTTAGGAACATGTGTATGTAGAATAAGGCCCTGCTGTACAACAATGTAAACACCTATGAACGCCAGCAGAGAAGCAAAAGTCCAATCCCTCGAGCCATGACATCGCCAGACGACAGAGCATGCTAATCCAAGAAAATTGCAAGTAGTACAATAAGCAAGATGATTGACAGAATAAGCATCAGACAGCAGCCCTTGTTCCTCGCCGCCTTCTGATGCCTCGAAGCCTGCGCCAGCTCAACCTGCGCCCCGTGTGTGTCATCCCGAACGTTGACGATGTTGTCCTCGATGGATGTCAGCTGTTCGCCTTGCTCGCCGACAATCTGCGCTACCTGGCGGAACAGCACGTTGAGGTCGCCGACACCCTGCTCGATGTTGCGAATCTCGTCCTCGCGCTCAATGATGAGCGCCTCCTGGAAGTCGACCTCGTCTTGCGACGCTAGGCGCACAAGCTCCTGCTGCTGCTGCTGCTCAAGCTGCCCCTCCTGCGGCGCACCGGAGCCGTCGGCGTTGTCGTCGTGAGCGGCACGGGCGGCCGTGACCGAGGCGCGCTCCTTCTCGAGAGCCCGGCGCTGGACCTCTTGAAACTCTTGGAGGGCGTTTTGGAAATCGGTTGAGACGCGGGACTGGTCGTACTTCTGTTGTTTCTGCAGGTTGTATGTTAGCCGGTTGTACGCACGACCCAGACACATAGCGCAACGTACTGTAAGATCCTCCCAGGTCTGCAGCTTCTTCACGCCCTGTCCGATGTCCTTGCACAACTCCCTCGACTTCTCGAGAAGTTCATGAACCCGCTCCCTGACGCGCGGGGTGTCACGCTTCGTGCCGAGGAGATCAATGTCAGAGCTGAGCTTGGAAATATTGCGCCGGAGGCTGTGGAGCTTGTTCATCAACTCGGACTGGAGCTGCTTGAACTCGGGATCATCGGTGTAATTCCCCCGGCGACCCGAGCCAGACTCGAGCGATGAGAGCTGGTCGAACGACATAGTGTTGAAAATCGATCGTCAGGCGATGTTTTGTGAAGCGAAAAACGGCAATGCGCTCAGGGTTGCAGTCAAACGACAGTCGCTGATAGTAGTGATGCAGCAAACTGGTAGTTGGATCAATCGCGAACCGGCTGCCTTGATGGTGTCAGGTGAGGCGATAAGGTACGTAACTGCGGAGATCGAGCCAGGAACAGGCACCACGGCGCATCACATCCCACCGCTATCGCCACGTGACTAAGCTCTTGTGGACCCCGAATCTGTACCTGGCGTCGTCGCGCTCCGACCAGGTTCTTTTGCAGCACCGTGAGCAGGTACCTACCGCACCTGTTGATGTTCCAGTGGTTGCTAGGATATTTTTATTGACAACCTCGACCCCATCAACGGCGAGCCACCGCCTCTCGACTCCCTCCACCAACGCTCCCCCCAAGGATGCCCAGTCGCCATGGCTGCTGCCATCGTGAGAAGAGCTCCTTATAAGGACTTTTTGCAGCCTGCTCTGCACAGGCGATTTTCCACAACCTCTACTCTTCTTTTGGCCCTGGTCTACATCCAAGCTATCCTCTTGAGCCAGTGGAATTCTTGTAAGCTTTGCAGGAAAAGATCCCAATCCTGACTACAACTAACATTATGATAGTTCTGTGGTCTTGGTTCCCCATCGGCCCCGTAGGCATACGAACACTCTTTCTCTTCGCCTCCGCACTCACTGTCATTATCCTTCGTATTTCACAATACCATGTTGGCGCGCGCGCCTCTCCATCCGCCATCGGTGGCGCTCTTCCCAATTTGATCACGATCCAGGCTCTCGAAGCATGGGTCGCCTATACCATTTCGAGCGCTCTCTTCGGCCTCGTCTTTCTCTGGTCGGCATCGGCGGACTCGAAACTGAACTGGATCTCGACTATGAGTGGCGACCGGGGACGACTTAATGAGCGGCCCGTCTTCCTCTCCTTCTACCTCCTCGTGGCCGCCACCTTCCAGGCGATCATGCATATCATCTGCGACACTGATCGTATCACAATCGACGTCAACAAAGCGAAGAAGAGCCCTGTCATCAACGGCGGCGCCACTTCAACCACACCACTGACCGTTCTCCTGGCCAAGCTACCCGGTGTCGTTGCTAACGCCGTCATGCGCGCCATCGGCGTGTACGCCCTCGCCATAACCCTGTACAGCACCATCTTCCGTGGAGCTGCGTGGAGCTGGGCCATGGCATTCTTCCGCCCCTTCAACAACCTTCCCAAGTCCAACATGCTGCCCGTCGACTGGCCCTGGTTCAAAGGCACAACACTCATGCAGTGCCTGTGGGCTGGCGTCCTCCTGTCTTGCACATGGGAAATCGGAAACTATGCGTTTTCAAGGTTCATGGTTAAGGCGCCCCTGAAGAATGGCAACCCCTTAACAAACGAGTCGAAGGACCCCAACGGTAGCCTGCTGAATGGTCTTAAGAGCAAGAAGATGCCCATCAGGGTAGGTCACGTTCTCAGATTAGCTTGTGAACTTTCAACTGACTTGTGGTACAGTGCTTTGCTCTCTGGGAGCTTGCGCATATCGCGCGCGACTTTGAGCTTCGACGCAAGGCGATCTTCGAAGACATTGACCGTAAAGACGGCCCCATGTGGTCCCAGGTCTTTGTCATCTGCCTCGACATTGTCAAGGGACTGGAGCAGAGGGTAGACAACTATGGGAAGCCTCCCCCTGCCCCGGTTGCCCAGCCGGAACCCGTGGTAGAGCAAAAGCCTAGGATCCTTGCGCCGCCTAAGGATGATCCTATCTTCCAGGCGAGGCCAGGGTCCAGATCTATGCGGGGTGAGATCGAAAAGACGCTGACCCAGGCCACACAGGCGCCGGGCCACTCGCCGGTTTCTCAGCTTAGCCCCATTGCCAAGAAGACATTCCGCAACGCGCGGGACAGGGTGCTCACAAAGGAGCAGCAAGAGGCACTGACTTCCCCGCAAGTCGTGGGTCAGTTCCAGGCTCTGGCGACTCCAGTCCTCCGCGCCGATTACATTGGCTGGTGGTTCCGACAGGATTTCCGAAGGTTGTTGACAGCTGCCGTGTTGGGTTCTCCATACTCCGAACTGAGCCATCACCTCAACGCCATTGAGATCCTGAGCGCGATGGCTGTGCACAGTTTGACAGAGGACAAATTTGGCAACGTACACAAGGACATTGGCCCTATAGTGCGCACATTCACTGCGGTCATCAAGAGACTTGAGGCCTTCAAGGCCAGCTTCCCAGTTCATTGGACTGATGTGGAAGGGAGTAAGAGCACTCCAGAGGTGGATGAGGTTATCAAGGCCCTCAAGGCCGGCCTGTCGCAGGTTGTCCAAGAATTTGAGCCGTACATCCGCGACCTGCGGTTGACGAGGACGGATATAAGGCTTGCCAAAGAAGCGATGGAGCCTACAGAGGGAGTACTGGCTAAAAGAGACGAGGAACCGGCGATGCGGGAAGTCCCCAAATAAACGGGAAAGAGGACTGCATCTCAAAAGCATGCAAGTGCCCTGCTTGGTTTCGAATAATGTATTATGGCCTGTATCAAAAAGAGAAAAGTACGTGATGAGCATCTTAAGGTTTGGGCCTGTGGTGTGGTTTAGGACATTTTCCGGTACCTAAGTCGACCCTTGTTGCTTGAAATTCGGGTGACGACGTTGAGCCCCACCTTGGTAAATGACATTGTCAAGCCCAAGCTTCCGCGAGCAGCTCGACCATCATAACTTCTCCCACCTGCGCTAACCTCCTCAACCTCCTCTGTACAGTACCTTCGCCTCGCCTTCGGGCGCCGTCTTCAGAACGCCCTTCATGTAATGTTGATCTTGCTGCGCAGCCTACCTCCGACTCTCATCAACCTTTGCGTCGCCCAAAGCAGCCATGCGCTGCACTCAACCAACGCCAGACCTTGAACGATTGAACCGATTTACGATCGCGACCTAGTTCTACGCAGAAGACCGCCCGCTTCTGGATCGGCGCCCGACCCGGGTGCTGACACCTTGGAGAGATGGTGTCAGCTCGCGCCATCTTCCGATTCATTTACGGAAGTTTCTACTTCGTCCTCTGCACACTCCTCGTCTGCCTGCTTCTCGTCACTCCTGGCGATACAATCTATCAAGCCTACGAGAACAACCAATGGTACAACATCTGGTTCGTCGCTGCCGCCCTCGTCGGTATCCTCATCATCGTCTCCTTCATCTATGCGCTACGACTGTACAACAACAAGACCATCCTTGCGTCAATACCGAAGTCATGGGTTCCGATTGAAAAGGGAGATGTGCCCAAACAGGTGTTCGAGATGGTCACGGCCGCGTTGGACCGCAGCGCCATTATCCAGTTCGAGTCAAGGCCGCGAATCATCCCCAAGGTCATGGACGACTCGCAGTCCGCAGTCTCGAACATGTCGGAGAAGCGCGAAGAGTGTACCAAACAGGATCTCCAGCTGCTGAAACTGCGCAAGAGAGATGAGGTCGAAGAAACGCTTGGGATGTCTGTCGCGCCGCGACTGCCCGTCTGGGGCGAGATCGAGCATCGGGGATGGTCATCGCCAGAATCCCTCGACCTTCCTGATTTGCAGTACAGCACTGTGTTGTCCGAGCTGCCAAACCTCATCGAGGCGAAAGCGCTTACGCTTGCGCCGCCGATTCCTGAGTCCACAGCCGAGCCGCCCATGCTCGACCCTGATGCCATGGCTCTTCTTGAACGGCCCTACAACCTAGGTCTACGACAATACCTTAATCACCTCTCTGAACTAGGCGTCTTATCGATGGACGCCACGACAGTCGAATTCCTTACCTTGTACGAATACGCGCGGTTCTCCAATCGCCCCTTGACTAATTCGCAGTTCCGTGACACGATGCAACTCTTTGCGCAGCTTCTTCGCAGCATGAGGTTGTTCGATCCCTCGATTCTCGACCCTGAACAAGAATTTGACGAGGATGCACAAGCCCCTTTCGAGAGCGACATTGGGGATGATGATCCTCCCATTACGAACCCGCCAACGCCACGAAGCATCTCGTCGCGCACCACGTCTAGCTCACGATTGCGTGTGAATTTGCCACCACGGAATTCTTCGGCCGCCACGTGGCACCAGTACCGCACCGCACCGTCCACACTCCAGGCGCGCTCGACGGGTGCACTTTCTCACTCGTCCAGTATGAGCAGCCTCGCGCAGAGGCGGCAGGTGCACCATTCGCCTTCCAACGCTAGTCTCCGTTCGAAGGTGTCACAAAGCTCCGGGGCGTCCGTCATCCGTCTTGCAGGGAGGGCGGATGCGACAGACTTGCCGTACGTGTTGACCATGGTGGATTCGCGTTAAAGTTCTACATGATTTGCTCCTTACGCATGGCGATGGCATGGCGTTTTATGGTCCCACGGGAATTTTGTTTTTGTTTCATGAGTAGAAATCTAATGATAATTCGCATGTTCTTACTAAGCTGTGTATCGAGAAGGCTGTCTCATCCTTTCTGCATCCTGTCAAGACATGCAGCCTGATAGCCATGTGCACTGATCGACTCCGCTCCTGGGCATATATAGCCATGCTGCTCAGCCTCGGTCCAAAACATATCTCCCACGTTTTCAGAATGCTTTGCCGACGTGCTTGAGAACACATTTGCAGATCAGTTGGCTTTTGTTTGTCATGTGGTGGGCCAAATCTGTCACCATCAACGAACCTCGACGTCTTCTTTGCGACCACGAACAGATCCAGCCATGAGGCTGATCAACATCTAGGCCCTTGGCCTTGAATACTTGATGGGCCATCCGCCGCTGTATGCGATCCTATCTCATACTGAGGGAGAAAACGAGTTCGTCTTCGATGACTATCAGAAAGGTTTCCAAGCTCCGCAAGTTGCTCGGAGACCCGGCTTGCGTATGGTTCTTACAGCATGTCGGCGTGCTTCGCATGATGACATCGGCTACGTCTGGGTCGACACCTGTACATGCGAACTACAGTGGGTGCATTTGCAGACGTCTTGCCTGGTTCCTTGGGGGTCGTAAGTCCTGCCAAGGTTTTGAGAGAGATACGCCCGTGGGGAAGTACGGTAAGTTTATTTCCCTTTGGAGAGAGGAAACTCGAGACTCTCGTTCCTGTCTCTGAGAAGAGCCATGAGTGTTCAGGAAAATTGAATAATTGTCACGATATCTGTGTCTCCTTCATTCGACACTATGAAGATGAAGAAGTTGCGAAACAATTAGCTGTCTCCGCCTTTACAAACCTCGCCCTTCGAGCCATCTAGTGAAAACTTCTTGGTATCACCAGGCACCGAAAGGAAACAAAACACGCGCATTTGGCTGCTGGATACTAACGCATCTCTCTTAGATATGGATCAGAATTTGGAAGGTGATGATCTTTAGCTCAACTCACAGCCACTGACCATCGCCATCGATCGACAACCTTCCTCCACCACCACGCTCAAGACTAAATACTCATTACGAAGAGCGTTTGATTTCATGAGCCACCCGCTCATCGAAGACCCTTTAACGCAGGGATTACAATATTGGAAAGAAATAATTACCTGGAACGAGGCAAGTAAGGGATATTCGGCCAGGCTACGTGTTTGTGGCATTGCGTCCTTCTAGCGGCAAATGGGACAGACTTTCTTCGTCGCATGGAGCCACTGCTATCCGACTGGTTTCGACGACATGGGGCGGTCCTTTATCGCTGGAGTTGCGCCATCGCCGATTGCCAGAGCCTCACTGGCATAAGCTCACTGAGAGCGGCTGGATTTCCGACAGGCGGGTCGGTGCGCAATTCCTAACACAGGAGCGGTTCCTCGGGTCATTACATGCAAAAGCTTGACGCGCTGGGCGTCTCTCGCCCGTGACGAGCCAAAATCCTGAGTCGAAGGTATGGACTAAGTTCAAGTTGGTGGAATTTTGAGAATGCAAAAAGTCGAACTGCATATAGGAGAGATCTCGACCGCGCTACGGACGGGCTTAGAGTTGTCGTCCAGTCTTGAGGCCTCTAGGGCCGAAGGAGGCCGGCCCATAAAGGGATCCGGGATGCCGTTCGGGAGCACAGGTCCTAGTCAGTCAAGAGCTCCGATGGGAAGGCTGAGATGCGCAGTACTCGATCGCAGACTCACGCGGTGGGCAGTGGTACTGTACAACAGCGGTCGAGGGGCAACACGAAGCAGCATGAAGGTTGCGCGCGGAAGATTATGGTTGTGATCCGTGTGACTTTGCAGAGATATTATGGAATATGAAAAGCTTCAAATTTTGGTTCTGAAAATGGTGGAATGACGTGTATCGTGGCGGGATCCTGTAGTTCGTAACGATGCTTCATGGCCTCTTCCTGCTGGTGTATCCATTCTTGTGCCAGCTTGTATTTTTTCTCCTCGCTCCTCTCCCCCCCACCCCGGCCCTGGATATATATGTAGAAAGATTTAGTTTTGAAGATTGCGATGGTGGGGCAAATTCGACGAAAAGAGGATTTCCCGTCTGCTCGGAAAACAAGAGGTGTTCGATATCAGGTCGGCAGTAACGACTGAACGCGGGCTTGAAAACCGATAAGAGCTGAGCTTGACAGGCTGCCCTCTGTTGTAGATGATGTCGTGGGGCCGTTTTGGCCAGGTCTGAATCGTGCGCCCTTGGGTTTTCTTCTTCGGACGAGCGTGCTGCTACTGCGAAGATGACCGTGAGAAGGACTTCGTGCGATTTCGAGAGAGTCTGAATTCACTGTAGAGATGGTGTAGCCCGTTGGCGAGGGACGTGGGCTACTTATACGCCCCTGGACGTCCGGGGGGTCGTGATGGGGGTGTAGGACCGGCCCCACTAGCTTTGTTGCCTCGTCGGGGGTTCTTGCCGATTGGGCGATGGGCAGGCGGGTGATGTGTGATGGTGGGCGGCGGCATTGCAGCACAATACAAAGCCCTATGGGCCCTGGCTGGTGAGGTCATTGTGAGGACACGGCAAGCTGCCGGCAGGGGCTGCCGCGGCGGGGCCAGGCCACTGAACGAAGCCTTGGTTACCCCCGATCTTAGTGTACCCATCGTTAATTTGGGCCCGAACCCTTGGGCTTTGGGGGGGATTTGTCGTGCATTGCGGCGCTGTCATTTCGCGCATTTGAGTGTCCAGACTGTCTCTTCACGCGCCACAATTAATCAGCGCGGGTTTCTCGTTAAACAGTATGCCTCCACCAATGTCCAATTTCGTCGTTGGTCTCTGTCATGCCCACAGGCAGCGCGCGGAGCTGGTAGGGTGAGGGGTGGCTCTGGAAAGGGTTGAGGACATGTGCCTTAGGTAAGGTATCTCAGTTGGTGGAGGCATGTATGGCCATGGATCATGTTTCAATCGACAGTCATACGAATGAGAACACAAGAACGGAAGCAATTCAGTACCTGAGGATTGGCCAAAACGCCCTGAGCTGATGGGTCTTGTAGCATGTACCACGTAGGGTTCCAGGGCCCGGCAGCGTCCTGCAGGAAGGCGGTAACACGTTGTTGTCTGCACTGTGCATCCGCCTGGCGATCGGCCTCTGTAAGTGTGCGAGGCGTATCCCTAAAGTTCAAGGCTTGATAAGTAGCCTCAATGAAGATATGCTCGCGTAACTACGCAGATACCATTAGAACGACAACAGAAGACACTCACCCGTTGTACTGAGCTCGATCTGTTGGAGCGTCCATTTCCTTATCGTTCTATAAACGTGGGATGACCTGTGTGGGAGTTGATCATCAAAGTTGTCGGATACCTTGTCATGTGATGTCAGATCATCGGGTTGCGCTCTCCGTCCAGGGAGCTTCCAATGGGTAGGCAAATAAGGGCACTTGAATCTTGCCGTAATAGGAGAAGTACGCAAGATGTAGGGTGGGTTGATTCTTATTATTTATGATGTAGGGCGGGTCAATTTTGCGTGATTCCCGCTGCCGACGTTATTACTTCCAGGATGCGAGATACATGCACGGTCGCAGTGGCTGTCATCCGCATGTGCACATTTGCCTTACGGCAACGCCTGATGGTTCGCACAACTGTAACCAATTTATTCGGTATCTAGCGTGGTCCCACCTCGTTGTCTTATTTTCTCTTTTCATAGTTCCCACTCACCGCTCAAACCCGATGTCCACGATTCAAAGCGAATTGGTAGCTGCAGATTTCAGACTGTCAGCTGCCGCGGAAGGGCACCTCTGCATAAGCTTCTTACTTTGTAGTCCTTGCTTCTCTCATGGACACACACGGTTTCCGGTTATCTAGATAGCTCAATGTAGGAAGCAGGTGATTGCAGCCAAGATTTAGTGACAAAGAACTATGAAACTATGAACCAAATCCCGGTCATTCGAAGCGCCGACAATCAATATATGTATAGATTCGAAACTTGTTCCGTCTAGGTAGGTTTGAAGGAGGTTAAGACGATCTTCCAAACTGGAAATATCCTTCTCATTTAGAGGAATCATAGCAGTGGGTTGCCTCCTCATAAGGCTGTTGGCTGTTTGCTGGTTACACTTTTGAAGCCAAATAATTTGCTCAACTCTGATATTGAATACCTCCTGACCTCCGCTGCATTTTGCCCTCCAGAGTACGTGCTCGAACCTTGTTGTCGACAGATGACCTCCTTTCCTACCCAGGGCCATGACGGCAACGGGCCGCCTTCTTCACGTACAGTGGGCGTCCTTCACTGCCTAGGTGGTGGAAGACAGCAACAGGGGCCCCTTGTCCCTTCAGCCACCTCAGACTCGACCAGTGACGGGCGGGACTTCTTAGTAAAGAAAACCCCAAAAAGGTCGTTGATCCCCAATCATCTGTTATATGTGCATTACATCCCGCAAGCAACGGTGACTTACCCGCCCCCCATGCAGCCGAAAGCTCAGCCATCGCGATTCATCGCAAGATTAATCCATAATCGTCATCATCTGAATCAATTACCTTCCCATCGAGCAATCTCTTCGCAGTCTTCGCTCCTGACCACCTATCGACCATCAGGAGCTCACCGACCAACCTCGCATTCAACATACCCTGCATGCTACCACCATCAACCGTTCACATCCTCATTGTCACCATCGTCGTTACAGCCCATTCCAAACGGAGGGCTTGAACCCATGAGTCTCGAGGAGTGGGATCTCCTCTCACCTGAAGCAAGGATTCGATCAGAAGGCGACAGAAAATGGGGCTGGGTCGTCTATCGGAGCTGTTACGCAAAAGAATTCGACCCGCGCTGGCAGGAAATCAAGAGCCATATCGTAGACGAGCTTTGTAAGGATATCGCTAGATCCGACACGCCCTCTATCGCGAAAACGATGGATTTCGTCTTTATCGAGGACCCTGCCCTTGAAGGCGCCATGGTCACGCAGCTGCAGCACTACTTCCAGGCTTGGGCGCGCGCAAGCGAGGGATACCATTTTGACGAGGGGAGAGACGTATCCCGAGACTCGAGGCATGAGTTCTTCATCATGGTCGACGAACAAAGTTTACGCAACCGCACTCTTGGTCTTGTGCACGGATGGCCACTAGAGCAGGATTCGGAAGACGTCGCGGAGGAGGGAAACCAGCATGGTGCAGGGGATTGGATCAGGATTACGGCGGATTACACGGTCACGACAAGTCTCTACGAACAACTGAACGACCTCGAATACTGGTACTCTATCTATAAGCCGCCGGAAATGGGCTTGGCTTGTGTATAGGAGGCATTTCCGCTTTCGATGAGGCGATACCTTTTGAAATCCCGATCTCCTATGCAAGGCTTCTGGACGCCTCATTATTCTGACCATTCGGTCTCTTCGAGAGACTCCAGGAGGGAGACTAAAGAATGGCGTGAGTCGCGAAGAGAACCGCTTGAGACCGAGGTCTTCCCAGGCTGTAGCCCTACTTCCGTATACTACCTTGGGAATGACTGATTCATTCCGCGAACCGCTGTTCTTGAGACATGACCAGCCTAGAATAGACTCGTCGAGTATTGGTACAGCGTTAGAGGAGTAATCTGTTGTTTTCCCCAAAGTAGATACGGTCATATAAAGCCTATTCTTTGTAGGGCTCTCTCACCACTAGATCAGTCCTCTGAAGGCGTGATTCCATACTATTGGAAAGTTGCGTCACGAAATGACCCGGCGGCTGGAAAGCCGACAAGCCGGAAAGCCGCCTCACAGAACCCAAGACTATGAGACGACGCTATTATGAAGTTATCTCCTGAGCTGAAACGAAGCCGCTCTCAGTAAGCATAGAACAAAACAGCCTCCAAGTCCCTCTGACGAATTTTCTTATCCTCGCGCATCAGATCCACCTCACGACCAACGCTCCAGCAGCGCAAGCAGCGCAAAATGCCGCCGAGCTCGCCATTGGGATGACACAGCGCGGCACATCGTTCTTCGGCCAGAGGTACTACACCCATTAGAAAACCACACAATCAACAGCCATAGGGGAGGGAAACTCACTGGCGTCCAGATGAAGCTAAAACTAGCACTCGTGTTCACCACGGTCAGCGCTCTCACCCGCTTCTCCTTGGTCGACCCGCACGTGCTGCCAACCCAGCCGAGCAGGATGCTGTTGACCATATAGGTGCCAGTTATGAAGACACACATGGCAAATTACCGCGCGCCCGTGTTCGTGGTGGCGCAGGCGAGGATGAAGCCGACGAGGCCGGTGGACTTTGCGGCGGTGACGAGCCACGTCCGCTCGTGGAAGCGGCCCGACGAGCATGCCCAGCCGACAGAGATGATACCGGCGATTAGTTATGGCGGGCAGGTCAGCACGAGGGTGATGGTCGTGTCGAAGCCGAGGGTGTTGACGATGGTGAGGAAGAAGTTCTTGAAGCCGTCCTGTGTGGTGTCAGCAGTGGTATACCAGATGCATGTGCTGCATGTAGATCAACACCCACACCTCGAGGTCTACAATCGCTTCCTTGAGACCGATCAAAGGGCTCGTGACCGCCTTGTGGCCCACAGTGTCCTTCTCGATGCGGCTCAGCATGAAGCAGGAAGTAGCCGCCACGACGAAAGTCACAGCGCCCTAGAGGATGAACAGCCAGCGCCAGCCAGACAGACCAGCAACGTCATCCAGCCCCTCGAACACACCGGCGGCAATCAGCCCCACAAAGGGCGTGGCGAGGATGTTCTCCGAGTCAAGGATGCTAATCCTTGTCGCGAGCTCCTTCCTCGTGTAGAAGATACTCGAGATGTACAGGGCGCCGGGATAGTACGGCGCCTCGACCACGCTGAGGAAGCAGCGCGTCAGCACGAGGCCGATGTAGTCTTTGACGAGCGCCGTCAGGCAGCTGACCACGGCCCAGGCCATCATGAAGCCGCCCATGTAGAAGCTCGGCTTAACCCGAGTGAGCATCGTGTTGCCCGGGATCTGTCCGAAGATGTAGCCGACGAAAAGAATACGAGACGGAGGTGGAGTACTGAACTCTCGCGATGTTCAGGTCCTCTTCAATGTAGTTCAGGCGGGCGTCGGCGATGGCATTGCGGTCGAGGTAGTTGAGCCAGTACATAACCCAGAGGGTGGGCTGGAGGGGTTAGTGAGAGTGACTTCAACTAATGACTTTGCCCAGAATACTCACCATGATCCATCGGTCAAGCTTCTTCACCAGTCGGATGTCCTCGGGGCCGGTCTTGGCCGCGGCGCCAGAGTAGTCCGTTGCGCCGAGTTAAAGCTTCTCGTCGTCAGGCGCAATCAAATTTATGCGCTCAGCATAGAGCACTCTCTACTTCTCAATGTCATTCGGGCCTTGTGATATGTATGGGACTGGCGTGGGAGCCATGGCGGCAGCGTCCCTAGCGTCGGCCTTGCTGGTGGAGTCTGTCTGAAGAATGGCAAAAAGCACGGCGTGAAGAAAGAAAATTGCAATAGTGGACTCTCAGTTGAGGCCTACTGTCTATCGATCTACAAACATAAAAGATAGAGGTCCAGGTCCATCCTTTTTATCATTTCACCTACATCGACCCTCACCCTTCCCAGACCCAAGTCCCGCAGACATTGTGCTACTGTCGTCCCCCCTCCCCCTCGCATTATCTGGGGTTAGTGGGACGGGCTGACACGCCTTACCAAGCCGCCCACTGACTGATTCAAGTCGGTCTTGTCATTAAGGGACTTCGCGGACCAGACTGGACCGCTATGCATAGGATGACATCGGAGCCTGCAAAGTATTTGGTCTATCCCAACAGAGAATCCAGTTGAATGAAGAATCAAACAGGGGGGTTCAGGAACTCATGCTACGAGCTTGCGACAAGTGTATCTATTGCAGGGCTACAAAGAGTCATAATGGCCGATGATCATGCAGCTCATCATTTTCTTGTGCTTGTAATAGTTTACATCAGTTCTTGGAGATCCGGCCTCTATGTAAGAGCCAGTAGGCGTAGTCTGAGGCATGGAGGCGCGACTTAGTCGCGAAGGCTGCCCAGGATTGACTTGGAGAACTTGGAGCAAGACGATCTTATGTCGCCTGGCAAGGCTGTTGATATCGCGAACCTGGGCAATTCAATAATGTCTGTTCCATGGGTTTCCTGGCTTACGTACATAGAATCCGTTCTTGAGTTCTCTTTTGATAGGATAGATAGCGCAGGCTCGCTCCTGGATTTGTCTCTTCTAGCGACCAAGGTCTATCTCTCCGCTCATGAGTTATTGGCGCGGCCAGGCCTGAACTACGTTGCGGAAGGTCAGATCGAGAAGAACACATTCTTTGAACGATGGCACTCTGAAATGGTAAGTAGAATGGAGGTACCCGGGCGGCCAAGTTGTGGGCCTCGAGACATTCCTCCTAAGATGAAGAAGGTTGTGCCAGTAAAAGCCATCACAACAGTATACAACCATCTCAAAATTTGCAAAGCTACATACATCGGTCAACGAGAAAGACAATAGAGGCAACGGCAGCTAGTGAAACAGCCGCGGTAGCAGCAAATTGTTGAGAAGAAGCTGTGAGCTTCACACGGGGTTCCGTGATGAGACCGGAAACGGACTACCTAGGATGATGGCCCTTGTCATCTCGAGGCTGGCATGACGTGTGCAAGTATGATTCCAATACAGTAGGACTAGAACGAGCCGCTCTCACGCATCCAGGGACCCTCAAGAATTTCTGTAGGCGAAGGTCTTCTCATGGGGTCATACTGAAGAATCCGTCGGATGAGTGCCTTCACTTGACGGCTTTCCTCCCCATCAATCTCCGGGCCCGCCTGATCGAACAAGTCCTCCATGGACGTCTGTTGCAATAGAAGCGGCTGTTTCCCTTGAGGTACTCCCCCGAGCTGACAATTGTAGAGCTTCCTTTCCGGTGTAAAGTACAATGAAGAAGTTTTCCACTGTTGGAAGAGCTCATCGGGAAGGGGGCCGAGCCTTTCAGTGAGTGCGAGGATATGATCGTCATCTTCAAAGTCCGATCCTGGAATGCAGAAGAGGGGCTGTCCGGTAACCAGCTCAAAGATAAGGCAGCCGAAACTCCAAACGTCAAGGGTATTGTTGCGTCCGTCGCCAAGTATCCACTCGGGAGCTCGGAGGCCCAGCGGAACAAGAGGCTTCTTTGGCGGATTCGTAAATAAATATGCTGTCAAGCGTGATGAGCTTCTTTAAGGCAATGAGATCGAGACAGAAATGAAAGCTGTTACTGACCTCCACCCATGTCGGATAGTTTGATCTTGAAGCCTTCGGTATAGGAGGTAAAGCGGACCAGTGGTTGCCCAACGCAAAGATAACGAGGCGCCCACTTGTCTTCTTTACCATCCAATCTCCGTACCGTATCCGAGATCGACATGGCTTGTACATCTTCCTTTTGACGGAGCTCATCCTCGGGCTCCGAATCGATGTCATTGAAGGCAAAGAGTATGTTTCCCGGTTGGAAGTCCCCGTGAGCGATGCCGTGACCATGAAGAAACTCCAAGCCCTGCAGAGACTGTTTGAGGATACTCCTGGCCATCTGTGGCGGATATCGGACTTTCATACCCCACTTGCGCGGGTTGAATTGCGGCAGCTCTTCGACCATCGAGTTTACACTAGGGCCCATAGGCTCGAATACAAGACATTTATGGATGCCATTAGGTCCGCTATGCTCGAATTCATCTAGCAGCTGTGTGACATGCCGAGCCCCTTGTGCTCGTGCGACGTCGTTGATCTGGCGCAAAATGTGAACCTCGTATGTGGATGCCGATACGTCTGAAACGAGAATCTTCATGGCGACATATCTACGTTTGCTGAAGAAAGATGAGTTATGATGATCTACAGGTTCGTGGGAAGAGATTGCAGTACCTCAGGTCTCGGGCCAACCAGACGGTTGAGTAGGAGCCGTCGCCGAGCTTCCGGATGACCTGGTATTGGCCATCCTTGAAGATGTCGCCGAGATGGACAGGGTGGTAACCACCGGGGCGGTAGTCTTCAATCCATTCACACGGCGAATTGATGCTGTGAAATCTTAGCTCGTCATCTCTCACTGGCCTTGACGGTGGTGTGGGTGGAGGGGAGGCGGTCATGACTGCACTCGAGAGGTGTTGCCCAAAACTGGTGGTTTGGGAGGTCTTCACCGAGATGCGGGGTTGTTTGACAGCTCCTGCAACGCCGGTGAGATTCCGGGGGAAAAAAGAAGAAGAAAAACCTTGGGTGCACTTCCGAGCGAACAATCCCCGCTCCATAAAGACGAAACCCGGGACTTTCGATGATTGTCACCTTGATGAAATAGTGCGTACCTACAATGAAGATCAGGACGTGTACAGCTTTGTGATTGGTCTAACAAACGCGCGCGTAAAGCAGTCTATTTCGGTACCAGGGCAATAAAACACATAGCTTTTACCCGTACTGTATGGCGATGTCTTAGAAGTTCGTCCACTTCGTCGGGTTAGCTCAGCCAAAGAACATGAGGAGAAGTGTTTATCCAAGGTTAATGGTGTATAAGAAGTCAGCTATTTTCCCACCAGACCTGCGTAACATGAGAGGAAACTGGAGAGACAAAGCCTCCACTCCCTTCACCACTGCCACAGCTGCTAGACTTTTGGTCAGTTTCGCAGCAAGGCAATCCAAATATTCGACGAGTTGACACCAGAGGTGAATGGAACAATCCAGCGCAACACGTCATCATACCCGAGCGATGATACCAGCTACCTTGAACCGTACTCGATGGAACCCGCGATCAGACACTGACAAAGTTACACCAGCAACATCACAAATTGCATAACAGGTCGTGAAAACTCCACGATCTGAGATGCTTTCTTGACCAATTCACCGCGAATATTGATCCAAAAGAAATTGCCAAGATTCATGATACGATTGCTTTCGTGTAAGTACAAATTTGCCTTTTCCTATATATTCGCTCAAAGAACCAGCGGTGGAACTTCGGAACCCTGAAGATTGAAGCTAGGACAGTCCTGTGATGCTCCCGTATTGGAGTAGAAATATAGCCGCTCAACAAACATCGATATACTTCCCCGCTTTTGTACCCTAACAGTCCTCCCTTCTCACGCACTCAACCAACATCTAGCAGGTGTTGAGCATGGAAGTCAGCGCCGTCTTCTCCGCCGACGTGATGGTGAGGGCCCAGTAGCTCTTGACGGCGACCCAGCTGCGGGCGTAGGTGCAGTAGAAGCTGGTCAGAGGGGGCTTCCAGGCATCGGGGCTCTTGTCGCCCTTGGCCTGGTTGACGTCGTCGGTGACGGCCCAAAGCTGGGGGCGAGTGAGATCGTTGGCGAAGGCCTCACGACGGGCCGTCGTCCAAGAAGCAGCACCAGACTGGAGAATAGTCAGCACATCTTGTTCTAGGGTGGGGAAGAACGCCGCGGGCAAAGCTTGAAGAAACAGATGAGGTTCCTCGTCAATCGTCCAGGACAGGGGTCTAGGTCACGTACCTTCCAGGCGTTGGACAGGGGGACCATGTGGTCAATGTCAACGTCGGACGCAGCAGTCCACCTGGCACCGTCGAAGGGGCTGACCCAGGTGCCAGAGGTGGAGGCGCAGGCGGAGCTCGTCACAACGTTGGTACCGTCACGGATCAGCACCGTCTCTCTGTTCAAATGTCAGTAAGGCTTCATGCAAAAGGCCTTGTCCTCGATCCACGATCAAGAAGGGTGGGACGAGCGGGGCGTAAGTAGTACCTTGTGTTGCAAGCGCCAGAAACAGTGTGCCAGTGAGGGAAAAGATCACGGCTGTATCCGGTCTGAGGACCCAGAGCGGCAACAGTCAGACCAGCAAGCTGGGTCCGGGCGGTAGCGGCGCTGGGGATTCCGGGCTGGAGGTCTCGCATTAGCTGAGGGGCCCATGACCAAGCTTTGGGGATGTTGAGGTCTGTTCGAGACTCACAGGCGCAGGAACGGGAACAGGGCTCGCGAGCACGGCAGTGCCGGCAAGGAGGGCGGAGAGCGAGAAGGAGAACTTCATGATGCTGATCGAGAGGCGGAGCGAGGCGAAGAGTGACTGTGAGGCTTGAGGCTGGAGGCTTGATTCTAGGAACATGTTCACTAGAGGGAGCGAGATCGTCGTCGCTTTATAGTCATTGCTTGCCTGATGAACACGACATGCCTGTTCGAGTTGGCGCGTAGCACCACATGCCAGTCTCAACGAGATAGCGGGCGATCCCGAAGAACCTAAGATCTGCCACGGTTCGAGATAATGCCTCCCTGCCAGGGTCGGCATCAGCTGGTGGCATTAAACGGGAAGGCCAGTCAGCTCTGCAGCACGTCGCATGCTCCCTCCTGTTCGTCCCTGAAACCCGACTTATCGGAGCCAGAAGCAAGTGCACGATGGCATCCCACCCCCCCGGCAGTGCAGTCTGTTTTGGTGCACCATCGCCGGCCATTCGCAGTCCCGGCCATCGATACCCCTCATTGCTCGCCGGGCGTGATGCCCTCTTCATTGGCTGTTGGGCCGTTTAGGTGCCGATGCTGTGAGCGGCTAGTGTCGTTTCGTCCCGCGACTCATCAAGCTGAAGGCCAGTGAGAAGCTGGGGCCGTCCCACGTTATCGGCCAGCTTAACCCACACCCCACAAACACCAGTGCCGACCGCAAGCTAAGATCATGGCGCTCCAGCGATTGGCAATGATGTGCATGGCCCTGTCAACCTTCCTCTTCAGGCGGCGGAAATGGCCGATGCGTCGTTAGGGTCGGGGGCCCGAGGGAAATTGGGATGATCGTCCGGGTGTCAGGACTGATCCGCCATCGGAGATGCTTTTCTCAACAACAAAACGTCTTACCGCCAGATACCAGCGCGAAATCCCGAGAGGCAAGAGTCAGACCAAGGTGAGGTGAGGCGCCGGAGGCTGGATAAGATGCGGGCCATTGCCTGTTCGCAGCATCGCCCTTCCATGCGCCCTTCCTGGCCCCTCCTCAAAACAGGGCAGCTCGACCGAAAAGCATACGTAAAGCCCCAATGGCAATCTACGACAAGCCTATAGAATTGGGTGAATTGGTCACATGCTCACGCCCGAGTGGAAACCAAACTTCCTTCCAACACCGGTTATCGCAGTGACATGCCGAAACCGAAGTCGGCCGGCGCATCCCACCATGGCCAAGCTCCGGAGGATCCGCTGGCCATTTGTGGGGAATCGCGTGTCCCTGCATTTCTGGCGCTGGCAGATGCGAGTCTATCTTAAGCTTATCTGTGCGGCATCGTCAACGGAGACAGGTCGCCTCGGCTCTCGCGACTTCGGGGTCGAGTCGCAACAGCATCGACATAGCACGAACACCCTGTTGGTCAACTGTCTACGAGGCAGGTTACCACGACTATCAAGGCTCTACATCACTGGATTGCGAAAGCAGTGAAACATAGCCGCCCGTGGCATCTATGCACACCAACAGTTGACGAGGTATGTTTGGAGTTTGCGCAGCTCACGTAGCTGTTCCGTGGGGGGCACGATGTGATCTGATGTTACGAAAAGCCTTGCGATGAAATCAAGCCTTCCTGACCCACCCCCGGAAAGAGAGCTTTTCGAATCCTCTCCCTGACCCCTCTAATGGCCACAAGTCAGTCGATTAGAGCAAGAGCTGAGCCCTCGCTCGACCAATTCAACGATAGCTTGGCTGTAATATACATAGTCTTTTACAAGCGCTGACTAGATATAAATGCGATGCACAGTCTTCCTGCTACGGTCAGGCCCTAGGACGGCTTAACGACAGCTCTCACACGCCGGTAAGCTGGCTCCAGTCTCAGCTTTTCCGATAGTACCTAAGGGAGAGGTACTGCATTCAAGCTATAGGCTTTGCTGAGAAACTACTGGCAGCCTCGGAGCGTGCGTTGAGCTCCAACTTGCGATCTGCTTCTAATTGCACCTACCAGTCATCGTGGTACACACCTCAAATCATATTTGTACCCGGGTTTCAATAAACGCTTCAGGCACGTTGAAAACGTTTAATAAATGAATGTTTGCGGTAAGAGTTCGATGATGTGCTGGGGCGTGGTTGGCGTTAGAGTCAAGTAGTCTTCCACAGCCTTGACGCCGTACTTCATCTATGGGGCTGAATGGAAGACACCTTGAGGTTCAGAAGCCGTCAACTTTTCCGACCACAAGATCATTTGTACAAAATATTCGTGCCTTTTGTAGTGGCTTCTAGAGTATCATGCCGCGTTCATCCCCTGGCTTACTTATCGAGATGCCCCTCTTCCAGGGATAGTTCAAAGCGAAGCCCATCAGTCCTCATGACCTATTAGGCATCATTATAAACCAAAAGCATACCGATAACACGCTAGCCAGGCTGCGGTACGCCCGCTGTAAAAAGAGCAATCTGCGTGAGAGACAAGATGGACTTTTCGTCAGCAGCAACATTCCTCAACAGGGCCTTTAACCCCGCGTCGAAGCCTTCCCTGTGTAAATACTTGCTCCCGATCTTTCGTGGCGGTAAGCAAGGCAGCTTGAGGCATTGTTAGCAGGTCTAGCGATACACATTCTGGTGCATTGTGCAGAGCCCAAAGATCTCTTAACTTCCGCCAAGAACAGAGGCCAGCTAGCCTCTAGCACCCTCAGCCTTCACTGCTTAAGTCTGAGCCACCAGCGCAGTGTTCAGGGGCTTTGTTTCTTCGGACTCCCTCTTACATCTGGACATCAGCTGTGTTGCTTCGTATTTCTGCAAAATACTCTCGACGTCAATAGCGGGCACGAGTAACTTTGGCAGCGATAGACTGCAGTATGGAAAGTCTAATGCGCTGCAGATTAGAGGGCAACAGTCAGTCGGGCTATGTGTGTACCACGAGACGCATAGACAATGCGAAGTGTAACTTTTGTCACGAAACAAGGCGATGCCTATAGATTCAATTAGATGAGGCAGTCAGCCTCAGAGAACCCTCCAAACGATGTTAGCCCATCAGGTCAATGCCATGCATTCTACATTATGATTACTGAATGGACGTGGCGTGAAGACAGTAGCTGTAGTGTATACTCAATGAAGCTGTAGCCCCTACAAAAGGCAATTGCGGTGCCCCCGTCCCATGCCCCTCTTGAGCTCCCTTGTATGAAGCAGGTTTCAAACAGTCGACGGGAAGGCTGATAGATAAGCATCGAAAAGGGACAGCACGAGGTTCACGTTGTTTGGCTTACAATATACTCACCTCATTCACAGAAGCCCTGCGATAAAATCATCTGGGGTACATGGAGTTTTGCCACACAATGAGTTGAGGCTGGATTCTCCGATGCTGACCTCACCCGCATCTATGTTCTTACTAAATATTCCTCGTTTGAATATATTAATTCGTTAGTAGGACAAGCAAGCTCGCTCGTGAAACTCTCGATTCGGTTGTGACACCTTCTCAAGCTGATTCAAAGTTGCAACGTTGTAGGGCATTGTTTCACGCGGGAAGACTAGGCATGCAAGGAGCGAATTTCGATCCGAATGGAAAGTTGCTAAGATGTACTATGACACCATTCCCAAACTACGAGATGAACCTGAGCTACACATGGCCGAGGTCACAGGTCAACGAGGAGCACACTCATTTCCAGTTTCCCCGTCGCGGAATACGGAGACGTAGTGACCAGGCCGACGAAGAGGCTCAGCCAGAAAGGAGAAGTGTAAATCGAAACAGGATAAATGAAGTGCCAATGACAGTCGCTGGGAATATCTCACCTTGCTCATGCTTGCGACACATGCCATTCGTAGTGAAACGAGGCACTAAGATGAAGCTGCAGGCCCTGGTGTGGCTGGTGTCACTGGACGAATCACAATATTAGTTACGTAGAGATGTCATTGTATTTGGCTTTCGATTGAGTCCGGACAGTCGCCTTTGAAGGCATCGCATACAAGGAAATGATGGCCGTGCCCAGTGGTTCGTTGAGTGCCGTTGGCCCAACACTGCGAACCCCGCGCTCCACGGCACTGGAGGAATAGCCCCACATGAAACCCGATGGAGGGGTCACGGGAAAGCACAGACCATGTGCCGAGCGGACGATCCATCAACGATAAGATCTCCAGCTCTAATCGGATCACAGGCCGCCAAAATTTCCAGTCCGCTGTGCAGACACCAAGCACGCCCAAACCCGGCGACACCGCCACCTAACGACATCCAAGGTCGTCGACTGTACCTCCGCCCCTCAAGAGGCTGGATCTCTCACACAACAACGTTCCCCAAATCAATCCGCAGCCATGGCTCCCACGAACACAGGCCCATCCTCCGGCCCCCTACCGACAACCACCGACTTCAACACAATCTACAACCGCATTGCCCTCGCCTCGGCCAAGCAAGCCAGCTTCCTCACCTCCATGCGCGCAAAGTACCCGAGCCTTCAGCGCCCCTCCGCCTCATCCTCCACCGCGGCGTCCAGCACAGGCTTCTCCGTCCCTTCAGCCGCGACGAACACCGGTGCCGGCCCGACAAAGGCCCAGATCCGCGCGGCGCGCGAGGACGACGCGGCGCTGCGCTTCGAGCCCGTCAATGCAGGGTTGGGTTACAGGCCGTCCAAGGCCGAGACGGAGACGGACGCGGCGACGAGGGAGCTCGGACGGAAATTGCTGGGCAAGAGAGGCAGGGAGCAACAGCAGCGGGGTCAGGACGTCAGGAGAAGGGTCGTCGTCGAGGAGAGCGACGATGACGAGGGCAGAAGCGGGGTTGGGCGACGGAAGCGAATGAGGGTTGTGCCGCGGGCTGAGGTACGAGACGAGGGAGAAGGCGACGCTGCTGGGGATCAGGGCATGGACGGTGGAGAGCCGGACACGACGACCAGTGTTGCGGAAGTCGAGGCCGAACCCGTGGTAGAGCCGTCAATGTTGACGGAAGCCATGGCGGAGATGAACGATGGGGTGCAGAGCAAGAAGAAAAAGAAACAGTCGAAGAACAAGACGAAGACGGAAGCGGAATAGCCAGTGCCTTCAGTCTAAATTCAGGATCAACTTCATGAAGTCCAAATGTAGTTTCTCACCAACAATTCTGTCACACATTCGACACCACTCTACGAAGGCTACAGTTGGTGATCAACACGCAGTGTGAATTTCCTTGTCGCCCCAGGAGTGACTCCTGCGCAACAACTATGGAACGAGAAATATTACAAACCGTCGACTCCTCCTTCGTTCAACGGAGTCATCACCTCGTGATATACGAGTACATGAGAAAGTTCTTCCATCTCACTGACAACATATTGTACACTGCCAGCACCATCTCCCGTCAAGCCTGTCGTCGGGAATGGCGAGCGACTACATGGCCTCAGCCCACGTACTGCCGAACCGGCCACGAAGGTTTGCGAAAGGCTGATGGGCGGCATTTTGCGTTTCGGCGAACCCTCAGGCAGACGCTGACATCCGCCGGGCATGGCAATCAATTGGCAATATCCTCTTCGTGATTCGTTTCCCGGCCCGAGATGGTGCCATCTCGGCGCAGGTCAATGATTAATGTTCCACCCTGTTCCCTGTCGGCCGACTCCTGCTTGACGTGCTCCGATTCTAAAAGCAAACCCATCGTGATATCGTCAATACTGTCACATGATGTACTGGCATCTCAATCTTGAGACAAAGTGGCTCGTATCTAAGCGGTTGCGGAGAGGCGATATCACTGCATCCGTTTGCGTTTCCTGTCATCGTCGCCGCGGAGGTCATCATCCTCATCGTCACGTTCAGCGATGTCCGTGGGGTTCAATATGTGGGCCATGCTTCCGCGGCGAGTGGGAGGAAGCGAGCTGTCTTTAACAGCCAGACTACCGCGACTCGCCGAGTTCCATGACCAACCAGCGAAGGAATCCGAGCCGCCACCAATGCCACCTCCACCGCCGTTGTGAAAGTTAGAAGGCGGCGGTGGTGTTGCCGGCCTCGATGACGGATGATGCTGGGAGGCGGACTGCAAAGAGTACGTTGAAAGTGAGTCCCGGATGCGCTGATCCTCTGGCGCAATGCGGTTTGGTGACGAGGGCCAATGTGTCGATGGCGGTCCGGATGACGGAAATGGAGGATTGCCTTGCCATCCGGGAGCCCGGATGTCTGCCGAGGTATGCCGACGAGCAAGACTTCCCGGAGGCGGATCAATCTCCGAGTGCGCAACCTGCGCGAGCGGGTGGGGTTGCGGGGGAGGTGGCGGTGCTCCTCGCAGCGGAGAAGGTGATTGCGGCGCAGTGTTTGATCCGATGGAGCTGTAGCGTCGTTGCGTGCTGATGGACAGGTTTGAGGGGATTGGCGGTCGATGGAAGTTCCCCTGACCTCGTGCCGAGGGTACCGTCAGGTTGGTCCTCCTAGGGTCGTCTTGGGGCATCTGTCGTGGAGAGACGGGAGCGTTCTCAATGTTGGAAAAGTACGAACGGCTTGCAGAGAATGGCGGCTCAGGCTCGTCGACAGACCGGAGAAGGTCAGCCTGACGGTGCATCTCGGACTGCAGATTGATGACTAGAAATAGCCAGTTAGCGCTGGAGCAACTCTACATTGGAAGCGCTGTAACCTGCCGTCTCGGTAAACGGGATGTCCCTGGTCAGGAACAAGACCCAAAACCGCTCTTGAAAGTTCCTGATTGAACTGCAGCAATCGTGTCATTGTTTCCATGACAGCCTGGTGCTTGATGTGCATGAAGTGCGCACTCTCCTCGCTTCGTTGAAGGCGCATGCTCAGATCGTACAAAGCGTGCTCGACACTGCCTCCCCTCGTCTCGGCACTTTCTGGAGGTGGCGGCGGCATGGGCTCAGCAGGTGTGCCTGGCTGCGAAGTGCTGGGCTTGGTGTTCGGATAGTCGCGGTGGACGAGCGCGTGACGCGACGCCCGGCGCTTGATCTCTCGTAGCCCCACGAGGTCACCTCTCTTGAAGTTCCCGTTGCCGTGCTTAAACTCCCAGAGTGCCATATCCGGATTGCCTGTGTGGAATGCATCGCTCACTGTTGCTGCGCGTCAGTTGTCATGCGAATACCTTGGCGGCCGGGCGAGACTGCAAACTGACCTTTATGGAAGCCATACATGTTCAACTGTCGCACAAAAGAGGAGATGTTGGTGTGTTTGAAGTATTGCCTAGCCCAGTGGTCAGTCCATCCGTAGGTCTCCTCGTGAAAACGCTGGTAAGAACGTACGCAAGAACTTTAGAGAAATCGGGCGACGGAGACATGACGAAGCTCTCGGCCGTGGGTGACCAAGATATCAAGTGCTGTATACTTGGGTCTTCCAGCATGCTAGAGCCGTGTTAACAACAGACCAGCACGCCACATGGCACCGTCGTAATTCTCACTTGTAAAGCTTGTGGATGAAGGCCGTCTGCACAATCTTAGGCTGGTGCACAGCCGCCGCCGCAGCAGCCGGCGGGGCTGGCATGGAGCTCATGTGGCCGGCAGGTTGAGATGCGCCCGGCGACGTGTTCTTCGCGCTCGATTCTGGGGTGCCGCTGCCGTTGCCATTGCTATTGTTATTGCTTCCACCGTTGATGCTGGTGCCGTTTTGCGAATGGGGGGGCGATCGACCGCCGGCGGTGGTAGGCGTCGTGATCTCCATGGGATCTCCCGGCGAGGGGGCAGATGTTTGGATGGTCGGAGTCGGAATGGGTACGATGCGAGTGGTGGTGGATGGTGATGAACCGTCATGGCCATCGGGTGGCAGAGGAACAGCCTGCTGACTCTCAATCGCGGCAGCCATTTGCGCTGCACGATGCGAGCATGCAGGTTAGCAAGGCAAGACAACAGAGCGCAGAGGAGAGGAAAGAGGAGTTGTCGGCGGAGAAAGCAAGACAACCTAGAGGCCAGAGCGTCGCAAGGCACCCCTCAGGGAAGCATGGGGAGGATGGGCCAAGAGAGACAAGGCAAACAAGCCGCCGCGGGCGCGCACACGCACACACCCACGCACACACGCAAATGGCCCACCTGTGTCCAGACCGGGGTTCGGATTCTGGAGACAGGGACTGGCGTGGATCTCGGGGGGAAAAGAAGAGAGGAGAAGAGACAAGAGAAGTGAGGGGACAGTGCACACATACCTCATGTCTTCAGCTGGGGGAGAAGCGTGGTGGGGAGTCAGGGTAGAAAGGTTGGAAGTCGAAAGGTTCGATCTGAGATCGCAAAGAACGGTAGATCGTGGAGATGGATGGCAGGTCAGTGGGTTGCTTTATCCGTGGAGTTGCTGCTCTGGCTCTGGTACGGAATTGTCTCCTAATAACGGACTGGCGTTTCTGCTGCTGCTGCTGAGCTGCACCTGTTGGGTCCCGAACGAGCTGCTGACTGGGTGTGCTTGGTGCTCAGTGCTTGGTGCTTGCGCTCGGTGCCGGGTCCGTGTGTGGGCTTGGTGGATATGCGCGTAACCCGGTCGGACAGGGCTTGTGAATGGGCAAGGGGACGCTGGCAGGCGGACGGGCGGGCGGGCGGGCGGTCGGTTGGCCTTGTTTGCGTGTCTGTCTGTCGGTACCTGGGGGAAGGTCGAAGATGCAGTACAAGCAGATGGCGCGGCTGGCGGTGGGGGAACTCTGGCGTCGTGGGTGGAAAACGCCAGCAACTGCAATTCGGTGAAGGATCGATACCGGCGCGTGCCGAAGATCTTGGTCGAGAATATTCGAGGAGGAGGATGGGTGGTCGCTGGCGTTCGGGCGGCGGTGCGCAGTGATATGACGGAATGGATGGCGGGCTGGTGGTGGTGGACAAAGGTTATCGAGGCGGGTGGATGTAGGCGAGCAGGCTGGCTGATGTTGAGGCACGTTCAAGGTCTGAGTCTGAGTCTACATGTACCTCAGGCCTAAGGGGAAGAGGGGGTAAAATCGAGGGGCCTGGACAGAGGGCTAGCTAGGGTCGAAGTTGGCTGGTGGGGTGGGCTTCGAGGCCGCCAGGCCTGAGTCGGGAGTCGACCGTCGCCGTGTGGCGCCGAGACCGTGAGCGTATAGGAGGTGCAGGAGCCACTGGCAGGAAGGATCAGCAGCTGGCGCGACGGCCCTGGTAAGGAGGGTGAGGGGGGCTTCCAGGTTGTGTTGGATATGTGATGAAGGAGAATGCAGGGGACTGTGGGAGGCCCTGACTCTGTTAGGATTAGATTCTCGGCCTTGTGCGTATTAGAGACCGAGACTCGTGGTGCTAACAGGGAGCCTTACCACGCTGACTTCGAGGTCCACTCGGCAAGGCTTCAGGGACCTTGCAGATACAGGTAGGTACCTACTCGGCACAGAATCTCGTCTGTGTACGGGCAGATTGGACAGGTGTCCGGCAGTCGTCCAGAGCTTTCAAGCCTCCGACTGCTGCAGCACAAGCTCCAAGTCGAGTTCCAATTCCAGTTCGATCGATGACGATGCTTCACGGCTGGAACGGGGGCGGTCTGATGACCGGGCTTGTCTGAGGGTTGACCGCAACGGATTGTAATGTGGTTGGATGTCACCTCGACCAGCGACAGGGCCCGTGTCAGGAGAGGAATGCGTGGCGCGAGGTAATGTTGCTGTTGATGATGGCTGACGGGCCGAGGAGCTTGGACTTGGGAATTCGATGGGCGGCCAGCCACGACAATTGTCGACAAGGATACGTGGGTACCAATAGCGTGGTGGGAACAGACGGGTTCTGCTCTGGTGCCGTGGTGATGATGATCTTGATGATGAGGATGCTGACCAGTCCTTGCTCATGGCCCGCCTTGGAGACACTCACGTTTCGTTCCATGCTTGCTTCTTCGCGTGGGGAGCGTCGTCTCCCGATTCTGGTGCCTTGTCACTTGTGCCTGTCCCGGCGCCTCCTGTCCATCGTGGCCAAATCGGATTCTTTTTCGACAGAGGATCGTACCAGCGATTGAAAGGCACGGTCTAGCGGAGTGGTGATGAATATCGGTTCCATGGATCCAAGATCCATCGCAGCCCAAGACTCGATGGACCAGAACCCAAGAACCTCTAAACACTCGGACCTTGGATGATCAGACACTCGATCAATACTCCGACAGGGTCCAGACCAGTGTAGGACACGTCCACTGTAGCCCCACTGACTAAGGACCAAGGCAGGTGGGGGAAGGCGCCTTTGGCTGGCTGGACTGTGCTTTCTCTCCAGCCTTACCTTCTAGACAAGTACTTGCGGTAGCTTGGGTAGGTACCTTACCTTAGGCAGGTATCTACCTGCCTGGCAAGAACCCTCTGGTCGACTGTTGTCTTGCCTGTCTCCTTCTTGCCCGTCTAACGCTTGCCCCTTGTCCTTCCCAGTTCCGTGCATCTGTAGCCGACATAGCTCCTCCTAGCTCCAGTACCTAGGTAGGTACAGGTACTGTACAACAGATATCTACAGGGTCCTGTGTGCAATCCAGCCCTGCTCTCTCTCCGTCTCCATGGCGAATTGACGACGACCAACCTTCATTCATTGGGGCTTTTCTTCCACTATCCCTGCCATCAAAAACGTTCAGCTTCCAGCATGTCTCACTCGTGCATCGCCATCGTCGTAATTTTGACACAGTGGATTCGAGAAATCCCACGAGCTTGCGCCGTCAAAGCCCTGAATGGTCGATGAGGAATTCCTTACCATCCACCCCATGTCACTCGGACATGCACGATGCTAGGAACAATAAGCCACCTCGACCTCTCCAGTCGTGATGGCCTTGGCCGTTGAGACAGCGCACGGATCTAATCGGTGCTCAACCATCTCTGGAACCCAACGAGCACGTCACGGTGTCTGTCTTTTCTCAGATCCGGGGCATTGTAACGGGAAGACGAGACTGTCGACCATGCCGCGTGTCCGTGCCCATCTCTCTCAAGTGTTGTGGATTGTCCTCGTCGCATGTACAATCAATCCATCAATCGCACATCCATCGTTCCTGGGGAGCAGCTAAAACCTTCGAGTCCAAGCTCCTGGCCCAGTCCGACCGCGGGAGCTTTTCCGGCACGCGGCGCCCCTTCACACTCGAATTGATATGACCGCCTGGGTGATAACCGTGGTGGACACTGCTCAAGTATCAGTGGGTTGGATTGGATGAACTACGATCGCCGGAAAGGGCTACCTCCGATCTTCGAAGCTCTTCATCCCCCTCCAGGCCGAGACACGACCTGTCACTAACCATGCTAAAGCATGCTGACGCTCAGAAGCATTCGAGCTATCCAGCCTCTTTTTTGCGACTTTGCGAAACGCAGCGTTGCGGCTGGGGCTGCATGATCGCATCTGCGTCTCGTCTAGTCGGTCAGTCACTGCTACCTTGGATGGAGACCTTGATCCTCGCATGTCGTCTAGCGCGTGCTCGTGGTGAAGGAGGCCCCTTTTCTTCAAAATCACACCCTCCATCATGTTCAGCTCCAGGGCCCGCAACGCCGAGAGCCGCGACTCCCCAATCGCCCCCAGCTGGTGGACAGCTGATGCTTGATGCCTGACTGGAGAAAGAAAAGAGCTCTGAAGCGAGCGACCTCTTTGTTTTGAATGTGGCGGCTCTTGCTGCTGACGTGCTGTTAATGGTTTCCGAGACCCCTTCTGAAGCGACATGCTCAGCAGCAGGGTTCAATGCAAGCAATCAAGCCCGCCCACGCGACGGCTGTCCCTTCAAGACGCATCGTTCTTGGCTCTCACGCGCAGCAGATGAAAGGGGGGGATTTCATGGTCACGATCAACCACAGCTCCTCTATTGGCTGCATGCACTTGACGTGTCTATTAACGCCACGACGTCCCGGCTCTCAGCGAGCGAGCTACGCTACGCTACCGCGAGGGCGAATCGTAGAGTACCTTACCTTAACTTGAACCCCCCCACACCTCAAAAACAAGCCATTGGACCGCTTTCGAACCCAGCACGATACGCCGCCTCAGCTGGACAAGGTCCGACCCTCTCTCTCTCTCTCTCGCTATTCCCCGCTTCACAACAGGCTGGTTGACAGAGATGACGCCACGAACCGATCTTGGTGGATGCGGCCAAATCGTGTCTGAAGTAGGTCGTCTTGAAGGGTACAACCGGTAAACGAGCGAATGAGCGACCGAACGAGCGGCTGAAGAACCGAAGACCGAAGAAAAGCCCTGACCACTACCAAAGAAAGGCAGAAGCAAAAGCAACTCTGATCTCCGTATGCACGTTGAGCAGCTGCTACGCCCATGTGTTTCATCCTCGTCGGGAAGAACAAACATCCTCCTGCCCCTGTCGATTTCTCAACACGCCAGGGAATAAGAAAATAAAAGGCACAAGCTTCAGAATTTTTCCCTTTCATCAATTCCAGGAGATCCCCCCCCCCCCCCCTTTCCTTAGCTGAAAGCTTTCTTCGCGCTCCATCAAAAGAGACACCCCCCGATCGATAACCCCTGGCCAACGATATGACGGCCGCAGGTTCGACGCTGCTGCGGCCGTCCTTCTTCATCTGGCAGTATGACTTTTAGCCCCCTAGGCTCTACCTAGGGTAGGGGTCAACGGAGGAGGTGTGTGTGCTTGTACAGTAATGGTGTTCAACATCTTCCAGAAGCCGGTAGCTTTGTATCAGGTTGGATTGATGTGCCATTGCTGTCCGTTTTCGGATCTCGCTTGTCCCCTGCTTTTTCTGGAAGATGCTCCTGCGCGATCCGATTCGACAACTCAGACAGCACTTCATCTCCCAATACAAAGCCAGGACCCCCCACCCACCGAATGGGCTTCACTAGGGCTGGTTTGAAATCGGCTCTTTCAGGAGCCTCGCCGCTTCTACCCTGGGCCGACCCTGACCGAGCCTGATGCATTCTGCGCCTGTCATCAAATCTTTGTATGATGAGTTCACTGTAGAGCATATGATCTGCTTCTTGGTGCATTAGTGTTGAACGGGTGTAAATGACTCTTCCTTACCTAGACCAAGACCCCACGACTATCGAAGTCTCTATCGAGGGGGATTTCTTGACAAGAGTTCGTAGCAAAAACGAGCCGCGCTCGTTCAATACGAACCTTCCCCAGACGCCATCACGCTACCCCACTAACCATGCTGGTCCGGGTCCTGAAATGCTAGATTGCATTTGCTTGCCAAAGTGCTGAATGAGGCCATCCCAGGCAGCATCGTCGATAGTCAGCTCGCTTCCAATACTCGTAATTCCGTACACTATGGATGAAACTCTCTAGCCACTATTATGTACTCATCCTTCAAAAGTTCCTTCGTCGATAATGATAAGGTGTCTGCGAAGAGGCTTTATCGCGTCGGCCTCGCCCGTGTTCCAGTTCCTGGTCCTGTCGAGATCGCTGTCGAGGGCTCCTTTGCAGAGAATCGATCATAGAGTACACAACTCTCGGCTTGCCGTAGATCTTCTCTTCTCTTGACAGTTTGGGCGTTTTGATGCAGCTTCCGCGTCAGGATCGAGAAGCATATCTCGGCAACGTTCACAGAACCACCACCCACCGCGGCCATCAGAAGCATCGTCCGCTCAAAACTGTCTCTACAATCTGTATTAGCTTCGTGATGTAGTAGTACTTGGGCTGGCATATTGTCTACATTGCAGCCAGATCAAATGCGGTTTGGTCATGTCGATTTTGTGTGCCCACGCTCTAGGCTCCAAACATGGAGGACCGATCAGGCGGGTTCTTCCCCCGCCATTATGTCTGACTTGACTGTCAATGCATTCAAGCTGACGAGATCTTGTGAAGCGCATTGTTCTTGTTTGAAACAGCGTTCGCCTCTTGAGATTGACGACATGCGATGCTGCGTCAGAGTTGAGCAGTAAACTGACGAGGGGTTAAGCTGTTCATTACAGCCAGTGTTGAGAATGAACTTCTCCGTGAGGAACAAGGGCAAAGTGGCCAAATAAAGCTAGAAAGCGTTCCACCGTTTCGTCTTCAGTTTTTAGGTATGGTCTGTGTTCGACTCTGCATCTAAATTGGTAGCATTTTCTGCATTCCCAGGTTCATCGATAAGGTCAGCAATGTAATGACCTGATCTGCGACCAGGTCCTCAAAACCATTTAGTCTTTCTAAACATTGACCACTTATACCTGGACCTGGGTTTCGGACAGATGGCCGGATCGAGAGGAAGAGCTTCTTTTCGCCCGTTTGGGTGCTGCCTGACAACCAGTCTGTTGTGCGTCTACAGTCTCACTCAAGGTACAGGACGGAATCCCGGCAGCTGTCATGTCTGCCACAGCATTCCTCTGAAGAGGGTTGGGGCAGTACTCGTGGCACGTGTTGAGGAAACAAAATCACGGCACAGATGAAGATGTAATCTGTAATTTGCGCGCACCATCACTGATGTGCGTCGCGGCAGTAGGCAAGCCTTCTTCACCCTCCATATCACAAGCAACGACCAACGGCGTGTGCAGAATGTTTGAACAGTCGATGAGAATTTCCCAAGTTGATCATATTGCATGTCCGTGTACATCTTCCAGGCTGTCATCGGTGGCCATGTGCAGACCCCATCATTCTAACAACAAAGCGGCCCAAGATGATGTCCCAACCCCAGCAGCAGCTGTGCTCGCAAAACGCCCAAACCAGACTGTGATCACACGCGAGCGTCGTTCTTCCAGCACGCAGACAGGCTCACCAGTCTTCCTCCATGCCGTTGGCCCTTTTATCACCCAGCTCCCGAATCTTCTCACCAAGCAGCGTCCGGCCGTACCGCTCAGCAACCTTGACCGCCGCATCGACCATGCGTCCCGTGCGGTCCCGCATGAGCTCCACCATCTCGAGCGCGCGCATGCCCCTCTCGTCGCCCTCGCGGCACTCAATGGCAAGCAGCTGCAGCAGCGTCTTGTCGACCTCGAGCTCGACGCGCGCGAGCGCAGACCGCTGCGCGTGCCGACCGCCGCTGCCGCTGGGGGTGTCGTCGTCCGCCGCGTCGCGCAGTTGCGCCGCCGCGAGCGTGCGTAGTAGAAACGCCTGCTCGAGCTTGCGGGATTCAGATTCCGGGCCGGCGTCGGCGTCCTCGTCTTCGTCGCCGGCGTCGGACCCTTCCGCGCGGGCGGGTTTTGGGGGCGTGGAAGTCAGGGGTACGGAGAAGTCAAACTCGGAGAGAAGGGGCCGGGGGAAGTAAGGATACTGGTCGCCGCCCTTGAGAATGATGCAGTGGAATTTGTCGTCGGCAACGGCAATGGGGTAGTACGTCTCAGTCTTGCGGCCAGAGGCGAGGCGGGGCAGGAGCTTGGTGTCGAGGAGGGGAATCCAGGAGGCGCGGGAGGGGCTGCGCCAGTGGAGGAGGGTGAGGAGCGTGCCTGTCGAGTCATAGATGCATGGGTTCTGTTGCATTGTCAGTTGGTTTTCCACCGTCAAGGTTTAGGATGAAGACATACACCCGAGTCCGAGAAGAAGACGCTCTTGAGTGTTGCGCCATCGGGAAGGGCAACTGTGTCTTCGTTCTGGCAGATGGTATCTGTCTTGACATTCTCGATGGTGTAGACAAGCTTCGTATAGCCATCAGCTCCGACAGGCCCATTGCCCATTGTCAGAACGTAGTCCTTCCAGCTGGCGCACGTGACCATGGGCGTGTTCTTGGGACGGTAGACGCGATACGGAAGTCCAAAGAGCGTGTAGACCCTTACATAGTTGGCCGTCGTTGTCACCGTCACAAACGATTCACTCAGTGACATGGCCAGAACGTGCTCGTCCTTGGGCAGTTGGATCCGCCAGTCATGACGCTGCGTCCACATCTCGTGCGGGCGGTAGAAGATGGTCGCTGGCTGGTCCTTTAGAGGCGGGCACGAGAAGAGCGTGCCCTGCTCGTTCAGGCACGCCTTATCGTAAAGGAAGGTATCGGTGAAGTGGAAGTCGCGGTGGAGCTCATGGTCGTAGAATTCCACCGTGACGGTGTTGTGGCCATCCTGATCAACGGTCCAGACGAAGCCAATGAGGTTTAGACAGAGGTACTTCCTGTTGCCGCGCCATGGGGTCGAGCCCGGCTGGAAAGCCTCGTGATACTCGGCCTGCATAAGCTGACGTCGCTTGCCTCCGTGCTCGATGGGGCCGGAGCCGTCATGAGGCCGCTTGCGGCTGGATCCTGCCGCATAACCGGCCCCATCATCGTCAACGACAAAGTCGTCGCCATCGCCGAGACCGTCGTCATCAGCGTTGAGGAATGAGTCCAGGCTGCCGAGGGAGTCGCGGCGGGGCCGAGAAGGGAGTGCACCGTTGCCATTGGTGTTGCCATTAGGTTGTGGTGGGCGGCGGGCGTTGGAGATCTCGGAGAGGGGGTCGTGGATGAAGGGAGCGAGCTGTTTAGGGAGTTTGAGCAGGGAGGCGAACTGCTCGTTGATGAGGTCAGGGTAGATGTAGATTTCGCCTTCCGACGTGGAGAAGGACAGCAGGTTGTCGGTGGGATGCCAGGAGAGATCAATGACATTGTTGTAGTCGAACTTTTGAATGACGCTCTGCGTCTTCGTCTCCCAAATGAGGACCTTGCCGTCCTTGGCGGCCGTCGCTAGCAAGGCGCCGTTGGGCGACCAGGCCAGGGCAGTGATGTCTCCGAGATGACCATTGGAAAAGGCGCGCTGCTTTTCCCAGTCGTTCTTCGAAACGACCTGAATATCGTGGGTGGGTGTCGGCAGTGCCAGGGCCCGTCCGTCGGGATGCCACACAGCCTCTGAAGAGAGATCCGAGTCGGTCTCCAGCGACCCAATAATGCCATCCACCTTGTGTATCAGCTCCGGCTGGTCTGCCGTGAGTGAGTAGACGTAAACGATGCCATCTGTGCAGGACACGGCGAGCAGCCCGCCCTTGGGATCAAAGGCAACGTGTTTCGCAGGTCTTCCATGGTCCTTCAGCGTGCGAATGTACGAGTGGTCAAAGGTGCCGACAATCTTGACCGTCAACTCGTCACTGGCAACAGCGCACCACTTGAGGTCGGGAGAGAGGGCGATGTCGCGTATGGGCAGCGAGGTGCGGGTGATGAACCGATCAAAGGTCTCAGTGATCGAGGAGTAGACGCTGACGGTGCCGTCTTCAGAACCGACGACAAAGAAGTCATCGGCAGCAGCCACTGTGACGTTCTGTTCCTGGCACTCGTCGATGTTGATGGGTTCGCCGTCAAAGCCCGTCTTGTACAATCGAATGGTGTTGTTGGAGCCAACGGTCACGAGGCGGGAGCCGTTGGGGGTGTAGGCGCAGCGCGTTGTGCCGGAGGTGTGGGCAGGCCGTGGCCTTACCCTCGGGGCTGTGGACGACATTGTGATGGTTTCGGAAGAAGCAGTGCCACGACGCTCGAATTTCACCTCGCCTGATGGTGTTGAAGAGGCTTGGTTGAGGAGGAGGCCGATCTACAGATTCATGGATTCGCAAGGGGGGACAGATGCGAGGAGCGCGTTGACGCGTCAATCAATTAAATCTGGCGCGTCTTGGGTCGTTTGGGAAACGACAGCTGGGCCCACTTGCAATCAGGTGGATTCGAGCTTAGTGAGGGGCAGCCTGCAGCTGTCTGCCAGTGTGTCCATCTGCCCCGCCATTTCACTGCAGATGACCAAGAATCTCATGGAAAGAACAAGTCAACACTGCCACTTACCTCCAGGCTTTGGTATCACTGTACTGAGCTCAAGTCATACTGCTCTTTGACGATACAGCCTCTAATTGATACCCCCAAGATCTCAAATCCCTACTGGCTTCCGCCTAAAACAGCACCATGGAGTCGAGCAACCAGGAGAACTTCTTCGAGACCGAGTGAGTGAGCCCCTGAACCACCAACCTGACTCCCCAAGGCGCTCCTCACTAACCCAGGCCCAGCGTCCAACAAGAGAAGCGCAAGCAGCGCGCCCTCAAGCAAGACAACCCATTCGGCAACCCGATTCGCTTGCCGTCCAAAGTCCTCGCCGTCCTACCCGACCCCACGAATCCCAACGCCCTGCTGACGGCCGAGTCCTCCGGCCGCGTCGCCCGCATCTCCCTGACCTCGCGCAAGCCCACGGCCAAGTTTGCCGGGCCCGCCGTGCCCGTCACGAGCCTCGCCACCAGCGGCACGACCCTCTTCGCCGGCGCCTGGGACAAGACCATCTGGTCCTGGGACCTGCGCACCGGCGCACCGCAGCGGCGCTACGCCGGCCACGCCGACTTCGTCAAGACGCTCGCCACCGGACGCCTCGGCGGCCGCGACGTCCTCCTCAGCGGCGGCGCCGACAAGAAGATCCTCGTCTGGGACGTGGCCACCGGCCGCCGCCTGCACGCGCTGCAGGACCCCGCCGCCGCCATGATGTCGCTGCAGTCGCTGGCCGTCGACCCCGTCGCGTCCTCGGACGACGAGCTCGTCGTCGTCAGCGCGAGCAGCGACCCCGTCGTGCGCCGCTGGCGGGTGCGCCTCGACGGCGCCGAGATGGTGGCTGGCGGTGAGGTCGGCGGCGAGGCGGCTGGTGATGCTGCGCTGGCGACGGGGGGTGCCATTTCCGAGCACGAGACGAGCGTCTACAAGGTCCTGTTTGACCAGGAGAGCGAGGAGATTGACCTGTGGACGGCGAGCGCCGACGGCACGGCAAAGTGTCTCGCCCGCGGCAAGGGCTTCACGACAGAGGATACTTTTGAGCATGGTGATTTCGTCAAGGGCCTCGTCCTCACCGAGACGTGGGTCGTCACGGGCGGGTTCAGCCAGGATATCAAGGTGTGGGACCGCACGTCGGGCAGCCTCGTCTACACGATATCGGCACACTTTGACGAAATCACCGACTTGATCGTGCTGAGGGATCCCTCGGGGAAGAAGGACACGTTAGTCAGCATCAGTATTGATCGTACAATTCGAACATGGAGTCTCGACAAGCAGGGTCTCGACGAAACAGTAGAGGAAATCCGGAAAGCTGGCGAGCCAGTTGAGGAAGATGAGCAGCAGGCGAAAAAGGACGATGACAAGAAGGAGGGGCTCATGACGGCGGATGAAGAGGCCGAGTTGGCCGCACTGATGGACAGCGACTGAACCTTGGGGAGTTGATTGATAGAGCAATGCTCACCTCCTTTATCGTGGTGGTTGCCTGGACCTACTCCTGGAAATCGGCATCGACAACGCGTCAACCCCAGCATCCTCTGCATCAGCTGCGTTTGTCTATTCGAATAACACTCGTACGTCACTGCACGAAAATGGCATCGGTCTCATCACACTACGCGCTTTGGAGGGGCCTCACTTGCCTCGCAAATGGAAAAGCCCGGCGTGCAATGCTTCTGAATGATACTAGCCAACTGCACGCCATACAGGGGCCCGCCAGTGATCAACCACTGTATTGAAAAACATGCCCGGAACTGGATACACCTGCAGCCGACGTGCCTAGGTAGGTCACTGGCTGCTGGGCTTCTGGAGCTAGAGGACGCAGATATAGCTCTGATTTGCACGTATTATTCATGGGATGCCTCATACACAGCGGCGCCTCGATAGCATGAAACATGCAGACCCTGTAAAACAGCCACGTAGACGCCAGCAAGCCTCAGTTACGTGGCCCCTGATACCCCATACATACCTAATGTAGTTCAGTTGGAAGGATGGAGACTCGACCCCTCCGTCAGTAAATTTGCTCCGTTCTGAACAAGCTACACACCAAGCTCGCGACATACTCTGGACGATGGCAGATGGATTCACTCTACAGGCTGCTGCAGCTTGAACGAGGACGCTCGTTGATAAGTGACGTTGTCATCTAACAGCGCACCCATCGCACATGGTATTGTTATGGAGCACGGAATGGCGTTTGACATAACGAACAGACGTTGGCTGGGCCGGAGAGCCTTGGGACCAAATCGAACCAGGTGATAAGAAGTCGGAAGTAGCTGTAGGTCGTAACAAACATCCGTCGAAGGGGCTAGAAGACTTCGCGTGCTGTGCCCAAGAAATGACACCGGGTCAAACGCAACCCGGCAATCCTGCTCAAGGATCGCCCTGGCAGTGGCCACCAACCATAACCAACGGATTTATTGAAGCTCGGATCAAGATTGACACACAATCCCAGTGGCACATGGTAGTCACTCTTGCCACAAGAACGAGGCAGGATATCGAATAGGTCCGATGGACAGGGATCTGGTCTGTGAGCCGGGCTGAATAGCTTGTTCCTCAAATCCGCGTGACGAGTCGTGCAAGGAGCCGCCTGAAAGACCGATGAGTGTTCGGCCACCCAGTCATTGATAAACCACGCAGCAGGAAAAGGGAATCCGAAAACAACTGTGGGGAGCCCGTGGCGCCTAGCGACCCAGTTTGGCCCCGAAGGAAGCGTGGGTATCCACGCCGGTACAACGATAACAGCCATGTTAAGGTGTTTTGTGTGCCGCTGAACCTGACGAGGGTCGGGGGTCGAGGGCTGGATGTCGCACCGGCTCCCAGATCGTTGGGGGCCGGGGGCAACGACGGGGCTGGTAGATTGTTGGCGGCACCGTGTTGTCCCGATGTCGAGCTCCTGTGAGCAGCATTTGCGAAACCCAACAGCCCCCGAGCCGCTCCCGAGCTGTTGGTGGGGAAATGGGGCGTGACGAGACCGCCCCTGCGCTGATCATCCTCGCTGCCAGGTTATCCTTGAGCTGAGTCCGGGCCACACCAAGACCAAGACAACAGAGGATGCAGTGCTGAGTTCGTTGAAGTCTTTCGCTGACTCTGGGCCAGGGCGATTAAAAAGAATGCCGGGATCGGCTGGAAGGCATTGTCTGACAGTGAGCTGGGCAGTACACATGGCATAATGACGGCCACGGCAGCCCGCATGCATAGAAAATAGAATGAAGGGCTGAGACGTCGAAGTGACTGCGTGAAACTGGTGGACAGTCTTTTCCGTCGTATTACTGTTGCGCCACTGAAGACTGTGTGACCTGGCTCCGAGACGAAGCCATTGGGTGACGAACTCGTCGGGCTGGAGAAACCAACACTCGACTGGCGATTGATCCTAATTCGGGGTGCTAGGGGGTCAGAAGTCGTAGTTTTCGGAGCACGGAGCACCATGACATGCACGGCCTGCAGTGAGCTTGGAACTCTGCTCGGTATGCAGACCGAAGATTAGGTCTCGACCTCGTCCAAAAGGACAGATGATGCTTTCACTGTCGGTCTCGATGTGACATGACGCGCGTGTGTAAGTTCGTCGCATATATTGTCGGCTGCCAGTAAGGCTTTGGTCGTTGAAGTTGCTCCCAATCCGAACAATGGAAGGATCATCGTGACAATCGACAATCGCAGAAGGCTGCCAAGCGTTCTTGTGTCAACTAAAAGGGGACGGCATCGATTGGAGTACCATCATGTTTGAAGATGCAGCTTCTGGAGCTAATGATGGCCATATCATCAAGTCCCGGGTGACAGGATAGACGCAGACCAGATTCATGGTCAAAGGAGGTCAGTTGCAGACAAGCCACCCGTCTAGGCGGCGCCAACAGCGCAGAGTTTGCTCAAACGAGGGGGCCGCGACTCGTGCGATGGCGGTGATGATGGCGAAAGCGGAGGCGAAGGCGAGAATTCCCAGGCAGCATTATGATGAAGACTGCCGGCCACCAAGGCTTGCCGGGTGAAATGTGGTGCGTTGTTGGTGTCAAGTGTACCAAGTAGTATGAGGTGGGTGTGTGGTGCAGATGGTGTGGAGTAGAGTGACTGGGGAGAGGGGCCAGAAAGTCCCGGTCTGGGTGCCGCCCCATCCGCTTAGCTGGACCCGCCGAGGGATCAAATGTGCCAGTGAAATGCCAGACAGTGAGCATTTGTTCCAATTTTGATCGCCTGGCGCTCCCGTTTCTCCTCAACGACGCGAGCACAGGGCCAAAAGGTGTTCAGGGCCTCATCCCAGCTGGACCCCCATGAAGTGACACATTTGACGACATCGGATCGACGACACTCTATTTGAATTTTCATCCGTTCTCAGCTAACTTCTCACCTTATTGCCTCCAGAATGCTTATCGCCAGAGGTATAGTCCCGCATGGTGAACCGAAAGCGTCATCATCCCCGTTGCCTGACCCCGTCTCCCTGTGACCTCGTCTTCCTGTTGTACAAACAAGGCCTTGATTGCATGCCGTACCACAGCCGCTGTCGTGTGATGCGAGGAAAGACGGCGAGCCACGCCCAAGGGATGAGGTTGCATCGACTCGGCCCATGCCGCTATTGGTCCACCGTCCCGATGGATTCTGGAAAAAAACGTGATGTGAGAGTCGTGCAATCGAGCTTGTTCTGGGGGGACACACCGCTACCGTTAGCTAGAGCCGGGCCGTACAGCAGTCTGTTTCGTCTACATTGTTGGCTTGGACGGCTTCTCACTCCTGCACCTGGGCTTTGGCCCCTTTGCCGTGGGGCTGGTCCCTAGAGCATCCTCGTTTCCTCCACTTGGCTCGCTCTCTCCAAGCATGCATCTTGTTTGAGGGTAAATCCCAGCACGCCTGTTGGTACCTGCATAGCAAGGGAGGTACTCTGAAGCATGGAGACTCGCGCCATGATGCCAGGGTACCCCACGATGAGGTTCTTGGTGGCCACGATCTGTTTGTCGTGATCTGTTCGGAGGCAATGCCCAGGTTGGTTCGGTCCTCCGTTTGGAAGCTTCTGTTTCTGCTTTCGAAGCACATGGTGACGGTGGGGGGGATTCTGGCCAGATGCCTCTTCCACCAAGGTCTTCCGCTGCATGCACCCGCCACCCTTGAAGAATTTCATGATGTTAGCTTCCAGCCAACGAGCTCATGATGTAGTAGTTTGGGTACGTAGCTGTACATCGGGCGGCTACTGCGTCGAACCTACCCTGTCTGACCAGGGCATCCTGATCACTGCTTCGGCGCCATACCCTCTTCGTTCTCCACGCAGCCGATAACGGGCCATGATATGGCCAAGTTGGGCTGCGCTCGACCGTGATGGTGATGTTTCTTCTGCGACTAGCTCAACCGATGTACCACTCTAAGAAGACATTACCTTGCTTCAGCCGACCCGCCTATTTGGCCATGTGCACGGCGTTGGAAGCTGGGGACGAGGACGGTGTTGGGTCGTATCGGCTAAGGCAGGAGCCAACTGTGTGGCACCTCGTCTCTTTTCACTTCTCTCTGTCTCTCCTTCCATCTTCAACAAAAGGTGAAGGTTCCTTGTTGCATGGAGACGCACAACATGCGTTGCTTTCCGCCCGATTCAGTTGTTCGCTTGGGGCTCTCCTCGTTGATGCTAGTGTGCATCGTCCTTCCCCCTTCAGTGTCAAATTCGACTGGCTTGGTCTGGCTTGTATCTCCTTACCCGTTTTCTTAACTGTTGCACTTCACTCTGTTCTTCGAGAGTGTGCCTGGTCTATACTCTCATCAACATTTGCCACTCTCTCTTTCGGTTATTTTCATCGTCTGGATAATTTTAATGCCCTCAACTGCATCCCTCAACTGCATCCCTCAACAATACCTTCATAACAAGTATCACTCCTTCCATTATCAGGCAACTTCGCATCTCACAAAACGGACTATGGACGATCCCACTCGATACCATGGCACTTTGGTGTCTCTCGAGGGCCCGGTCGACGTTCTTGCCACCCAGCTACGTCTGCTCCCAACCTCACCACAAATCTTCATCCTGCCCCAAGTCCAGACCTATCTTGAGGACGGAGACCCAAGCGAGAGGTTCGATGCTCGGAAGTTCATCAGGAGAATGCATAATGCCGTCGCCGCGCGGAACGAGGTTGCCTACTCCTTTCTGAAAGATTCAACCCCAACCAACAAAAGACTGGTCTTCACGAACGGCAGCACACCTGGCGCCCAGGCCATCTGCATCAAAACGATTGCTGAACATGAGACCGACGGCGATATCTCTCATGCCAAGCTTCTCTTCAACGACATTGTCAAGCATGGCGCGGCTGGACTTGAAGATGACTGGTTTTCTCGACAGAGGGAGGATAGACACCACGTACCGGAAGAAGACCCCATCGTGAGAGCCATGCGAGCGGCTGAAGCCCTTGATCGACTAACTGCCGACTTACAACCAAATACCGACGTAGACCTCACCTTCAAGGCTAGGCCCCGGAGTATGAGCCTTCCCATTTACAGCTTCGATGATAGATTCGGCGACGCTGCACCATTCTACGTTTTTGGAGTCAGGTCTTGCGAAGACGATGAATGTGTCGATGACAGCACCAGAAACGACTTTCTTTCAGCAACCCCAAGATTGGCAGTCACCGATTTCGGCGAAAGTTTGACCGATACCATAGCAACCTTCGAGGCCGTGGATGATTGTCTCCCGCCCCTCAGGTCACCGAGTTGCGTAGGGGAGACATACGAGCACCAGACTATATCACCACGTCGACTATTTACAACGGAATTGCTCTCGCCCCTTTCGGGTCACAGCACAGAGTCTACAGACGCAGTTGCATATGGAGAAGGTTCTCTGATGCAGATGCAGATGGGCAACCCTCGAAGATCAACGAAGCGAACGAAATCTCTTGACCGAGCATACGAAACTGGGGATAGCTACGGGGATCCTCCGCTCCAAGCTCAGATTCAGGCCAGGGTCGACAGCGGGAAGGCTCTGTCAGAAGATGGCCGACGCGACTCCAATGTCGGGACACTGCTGCAAAAATCACTGCCGAGGACAATCCACGTCCTCTGCGATCGTCCCACTGTCTTATTATCTCCTCCGCCACCAAAACCGAAGAAAATGGCCAACGGGGCTTATGTTGACAAGGGCACAGATGCAGAAAGCTTTCGGTCTCCTGAGCCCCCTTTCCGGCCCGTGCTGCCCTTTACCGAAGATCTTGTCATTAAGATCCAGGATGGAGCTGATGATAGTGTCCTCGATGCTACCATCGGCGCATTCAGAGCTGGTGTTTATCCAATTCAGACGCAAGAACAGTCCGAGCAACTGGTAGCCCGAAAAGAATCAGTCGTAAGGGCACCCAGGCTTCACGATGTCGAGACTGCTGCTGAAGACTCTGTCAATTCTTCTGCGTCAGTACTGTCGTTCGGCCCAGATCCAGACGAATACGATCCTTTTGCCTACGGTCCGACACCCCTCAAACCTGCAAACACAACTCGTTTAACACTAAAACTGAAGCCTGCAACTCCACCAACCCCAGCACAGACACCCTCTTCTCTGTCTTCTGTCTGCGGACCGGGGGAAGAAAGGATCCAGAGCTGCGACATAACAGGTTGCAAGACAGCGGTTGCTGTCCAGAACTCTCTGCGGCTCCTGCTAAACTTTCACTTCCCTCCGGAGGACCAAGGATATCACCGCTTTCATTTTTCCATACTACCAGAGATGGGTGGCCTCTGGAAGCCCGTCTTCCGCAATGCCGGCGCGGAAAGTCCGCGCAACGGTCAGCGCAGGATCGACCAGATTCTAGCTGTAGGAGCGCGTCGGGGGGTTAAGAAGACTCACTTGTCGAATCTCATCGGACAGCTTGAAAAGCTGGGAGTGAAATCTGGCGAAGTCAGCCGAAGCGGGCGGCTTGATTTTCGGTATGCACAGTGGTTTTTGCCTTCTTGGTCGGTCACTAACGGAAGCACAGATATCTTGTTGCCAACGCTATGCAAGCTTTCACTGCACAGCCACTTGCTAATCAAACGCACGAAAACCCATTCACAAATCCTTACTTGCTCGCAACTCTAATTGTTCCTCACCTGGAGCCTTACTTCGTCATTCATAACGAGGTGCGATTCCTGATCTTGGAATATCCTCCAGATCATCTAGCCACAGTCTTGGCGCTTCAGAAACTTGTTGGCGTGGACCTTATGAAGGTCGCAGCAATAGTGAACTCGAATGCAAACGAGCCTCTGCCGTTCAACCACGTTCGAGGTGCATCGATCACGAATGTGAACGAAGGCAACAACTCAGGTTCAGCTCCCCCCCGGGGGAAGCCCCTTCACAGGCAGGCTTCATCCAACGTTCTCCCTGAGAGTGTTGCCGTCTCGAGGGCCAACTTCCTCCTCACATCAACAGCGACAGAAGCGGAAGTTGGAAGCTTTGTGTCGACGATCCGCAAATTGCTCATTGATGTGTCACGTTTCTACGTGTCCGACGAGACACCGAGGCAAAGAGCGGGAAGGCGACTTCCGACGCCTATCTCTGCCTCCTTCTCTCCATTTCCGAGAACGACCATGGGGCTTCAGAGCCCTCCATTATCGCCACCGCCGCAGATATTACCCCCGCCGCCAAGAGGCAACCATCATCCCCGACCGCCCTCGCCCGCAATGTCGTCCAGAGCCTCGTTCGCTGAAACAGTCAAGACAAACAAATCATCGCGCAGTCGAAGAGCAAAGTCACGGAAGAGCGGCGGTACTTTTGGTCCCACAATAGACTGTCCGACAGACTCAACCTCTATCTTTACTTTCAACCTTGAGGACGATAGCGATTACGACCAAGAGGAAAGGCGCCTCATGCCCATTTTCATGTCGAAGCCCCATTTGAAGAAGGGAAATAGCCACAAGGCATTGAAATTCCTCGGTCTCGCTTGAGTACAGAGGTTCGCTACGCTCTGCATTTTGCATGTGTGCTTGTGGTAGATCGATGCATACTCCGAAATCAGGTGCCGCAGCCTCGATTTGAGGATTACTTGCTCCTACGCCGTCAGGGAAGATGTACAATAGATGAACTAGAAGGAACGATAGTATGGTTGGTGCCTGGAGAATCCGAGTCTTCTGGGAGCAATGTACGTAATGTAATTATTGAAGTGCGATATCGGGAATTTGAGTATTCAGAAATCCGACGACATCGATTTCCGAGTCTGAAATTGTACTGTATCTGAGTAACCTATGCACTTCTTCTCAAAATTTACGCGTCTTCTCCAAAGAGCGGAACAACGAAGCTCAAAAATCATTTACATTTTCAAAAGTTTTACGAAGTTGGAGGGAATCCAACTCGAACCAAATGCCAAACATTAGGTCCAACCAGGAATCGAACCTGGGCTGGCGGAATCAGAATCCGCAGTCATAAC